TCTGAGGAGGACCTTGATCGGATAAATATCCTGCAGAAGTCAACAGTCCCTCACATCTCAAGGGTACACCACACAGATCGCAGGTCCAACATGGCCTCGTTAACGCATGTGGTTGCTTCCATCCTGCTGCTGTCCACATTAACGTCAGCGGTGAGACACTGAATGTTTTATTATTATTATTGTAAAAGTATGTTATAATGCTTTTTACTGATTGTTTTTTCTCTCTTTTTCACCTTAAGCAAATGAGAGGAGACTATTCACCGTCACAAGATATGTGTAACCCAAATGATGGGTTTGTAAGTAGGGATTGTCTGATCTGGATTGTTATAAATTATAAACTCACAATTATTACATTGCAACTGTCATTGGTTTAACAGTCACTCTCCGTCCTTACTTTCTCAGGGGAAATACTGCCCTACCACATGTGGAGTTGCTGATTACCTTCAGAGGTACAAGCCTGATATAGATAGACAGCTGGATGAAATGGAACAGGATTTAGAAGAGATCGCCAACCTTACCAGAGGAGCGCAGGACAAAGTGATCTACCTGAAAGACTCAGAAACACAAGCACAAAAACAAGCACCAGGTAGCACACATTTTCATTAATTATCGATTAACAAAAATGCCAAACGTGTACAGAGGTTACAGTTGTCTCGGATGAGCTTTTGAGATTTTTAAATCTGTCCCTGGGTTAATGCAGGTTTCTGTTATTTGAAAATTATTGAAAAGGGCCCTGAATGTCATGAAAATTGTCATGTGGTGTAAGCAAGTAATAACATATTTTTCTAACACCTTGAATACATATGAGTGTGTATGTGTGTGTGTCTTATTATTTTAAAAAAAGTAATTATAATGGTTTATTTATTTATTATTTATTTATTTAAAACTTTAATATTTATTTATTCATTATTCATTAATTTATTATTATTCATTAATAATACAGATTAGTAAAAGTATTCTTAACTCTTAACAGACTTACTAACCATTACTGTTAAATAACCTTAAATAACTTTATGTGTAAAAAAAAAAAAAAAAAAAAAAAAAAAAAAAAAAAAACTATATAGATTGTTTCAAAGCAGCTTTACAGTGATAATAGGAAATAGATTGTTTTGGCTTTACAGCAGCTCTATAGAATAAAGTTATTGTCCAGCTAAATTTAGTTTTGTTTAATTCACTTCCATTGCAAAGATCATTAGTTATTAATTCACAGGCCGCTTACACAAAACCGTTCTAACAGAAAAACCTTAAAGGGATACTCCACTTGGGTAATGGGCTCATTTTACAACTCCCTCAGAGTCAAACAGTTGGGTTTTACCGTTTTCGAATCCATTCAGACGATTTTCTGATATTTAGAAGAATATCAGTAACCAGACAGTTTCTGGTCCCATTGACTTCCATACATATACTATGGAAGTCAATGAGACCAGAAACTGTCTGGTTACTGATATTCTTCAAAATATCATAAAATCGGCTGAATGGATTCGAAAACGGTAAAACTCAACAGTTTAACCCTGAGGGAGTTTGAGCCTATTTCCAAAAAGAGTAGAGTATCCCTTCAACGCCCTCTGGCCCGCTATTTCGCACAACAACAGTGCCTGGTGGCTCGAGAACGCAAATCTTGAAATAGGTTCCAAGGAGCAAGCGTTGAGAAATGTAGATAAACGTTATCATCTCAGTGTAAAATCCAAAAACGCAAATCTGTGAAAACGTTGACGGCGTGCACATGCGTATTACGTGTTTAGTCTATAGGTGTGCACTTTTGAATATATATGTGCACAGGTGTGTAGTCTTCCTTTACAAATTGACCTCAACAAATTACTTTAGCCTTAAAAAATCATAATACAGAATTCTTTTCAATTCTTTTCTTTTTTTAATTTTAATACAGAAAATAAAACGTGCTTATCATTGAATATTAAATTTTAAATAAATGTTCAACTTTACTTGATTTTCATGAGGTTAATCACAATCCTTTTGTCAGATACATACATCAAAAAATCTTCAAGCATGCTGGATGATGTACTGCGATTTGAGAAGAGCATTCTCGCTCAGGAAGATCAAATATAGTGAGCACTTTTTCTTGTTTTTTTCCCACTTTTATTGTCCTGATAGTTTATTAAATGTCATTAAATGTACTTGTTTTTTAATTAACCCCTCCACAGTCAACTGCAGTCAATCCTACAAGCTAATGAGAAACGAATTACTGATTTAAAGCAGATGTCTCTTCAGCTGGACCAGTTGTGCAAAGAGCCCTGCAAAGACACTGTGGAGATTCAGACAGTCACAGGCAAAGGTAAAATTAGCATTTAAACATCTTAATGACAAATGACACGATGAATTTACTTTACATATACGATTAGAGAGCTGAATTATACATGTAATTTTCCCCAGATTGTCAGGACATTGCAAACAAAGGTGGTAAGATCAGTGGGCTCTACTATGTGAAACCAGCCAGGGCTCCTGAGGCGTTCCTGGTCTACTGTGAGATAGACAGCTTTGGACGTGGATGGACTGTACTTCAGAGGGTATGCAACACAACAGACAATGAACAGTGACTCAATTTCCTTAAAGAAAATGTAGAGATACATGATCGTTGGTGCCGTGACCCAGATGAGACTGAGGTTTAGGGTGATGAGTCAGGTAAATTTCACTCCCCTGACTTCAAGAGGTGCACAAAGGACAGAATTGACATGCTTCTTACGTCCTTTTTACCACACCTGCCTCCCATGCCGGTTAACGCCAGCTCTAATCGCACTTGATGTGGTGTGAATAGGACTAGTTACAAATGCGTGCTACTTTATTGATCAATCAAAAATGAATTGTATGTTTTTCAGAGACGGGATGGCAGCGTTGACTTCAACAAAAATTGGATTCAGTATAAGGAAGGCTTTGGATACCTCTCACCAGATGACAGAACAGAGTTCTGGCTGGGAAATGAGAAGATACATCTGCTGTCGGTTCAGTCCAGCGTGCCTTATGTGCTAAGGATAGAGATGGTCGACTGGGAAGGCAACAAAAAGTAATCAACCGATTTTTTCTCACTCTTACTTAGGTTTGAAAGTGGAATTCCACAACCATTTTAATTTTTATAATACTTTTATCCAAATTGACTTTCTGTGGTTTGGGTTACAGGAATGGTGTTTAATTTTGGACATCATTTTGGTGTCAAACCTAAGACTTATCCATGAATTCCAAATGCAAGAGTTTTCTTTATTTGCAGTTGTCAAACAGGACTTTGCTCCGCTCACAAAATTGATTTTTGTCAAGTGACATTTCATGACCTCTTTAGTCAGATCAAACACGCTGCTGAACATTAGGGTGCACAGCAATCAATAGGCTGAGTGTTTGTCACAAATTTTGTCTTGTAAAAATTGCCTTCTCAGGTATGCCGACTACGCCACTTTCAAACTTGGACCAGAAGTTGATGCATACCGCTTGACGTATGCTTATTACTTTGGTGGAGATGCTGGTGATGCCTTTGATGGCTACGACTTTGGCGACGATCCCAGTGACAAATTCTACACATCCCACAATGGCATGCAGTTCAGTACACCTGACAAAGACAATGACAAGTTCGGGGAACACTGTGCCTTGCAGGAAGGGTCTGGTTGGTGGATGAACCGCTGCCATGCTGCCCATCTCAATGGAAAATACTTCCAGGGTAAACCATTACACTCTTTCGTCTTCATAGGAGATGGTCCTCCTTCCAAAATCCATCAATATTATACTGATCTATTACTGATGTATGGTTTCTGTCTTTACAGGTGGCAAGTACACAGAGAAAGACACACAGCACGGATATGACAATGGCATTATCTGGGCCACGTGGCACAGTCGCTGGTATTCTCTGAAGGAGACCACCATGAAGATCATTCCCATTAACAGAATCGCTGCTGGAGGGCAGGAAAGCGGTGCCAAGCACTTTGGAGGTCTGGGAGACATTTAAAGACCTTACCAAAGCTCTCCCCACTGTTCTGAGATATCATTTTGTTTTTGTGAAGCAATTGTTGAAATACATGGGAATGACATGGGCAAAGTGTTTTCAAATTAGTGTAAACATGTCTATCTATGGGTGTCTGATATTTTCCATTCTTCAAAAATTAGGTCTGCAAAAGCTTCATATTCAAGTCATGTTTTTAAGTTCGATCAACTCATTTAAAATGAAGTGGTCTAATGCATTGCACCGGTTAATGAATTAATAAAAATTCTGTCTTTTGTAAATGAAAAGTATTCTGTAGTCCTCTTTACTTAATATAGTGATCACTGACAATGAAGGTGAAGTTAAAATCAAAATAGGTATATTAGGTAACAAAGGTACACACATTTTATATTTTACAAACAGATAAATAAAACTTTCACAACAGAAAAAATGGGTAACACTTTATTTGAATGTCTTTGTTACACAGGTTACATAACTGTTCTAATACTTTACGCATATTTTCAAGCAACTAACACTTTTAACCTAATTAGTATTACTTTTGTGTAATTACATTGTCATGAGTAGTTTCATTAAAAAGGGAATCAAAATATGCTGTAAAAACGCTCTGAGAAAATGTATTATTTCTTCCGTTTACCATTTTCTTTGCCCATTAAAAAAAAAAAAAAAAAACCTATTCAAAATGTGAACATGGGAGCGCGTCATTGTTTGTTATTCAGGTTTTGTGTAGGTGTATTAACCTCTGTGTAGGAGTTGTGGACCACATGGTCAGTAAGTCAATATTGCCCCAGTACCGTGTTAGAACACCTTGATCAGGCTGTACTTCAACCTTCCAGAATGATGCAAGGATTTCATCAACCCTGCTGTGCAGCATCAACAATAAATACTGAGTCAGCTATTTCAACACAGGAAACAGTTTAAAACCTGATACGCAAAGTAGTATAAAGCACAAAACGTTATGCACAAAACATTATGTTTGTGAATGAGGGCACAAGAGGTTCAACTTTGTTCTTGAATTTATGCCTTTCATGAAATGATGACGATCAGCTCAATAAGATGAAAACTATGGGTTTTAAACCAAGGTTCTTTATTTTACAAAATGTTATGTCAGGAAATACAACATTTTTCCAGCCATGAGAGATACATGGTATAGGTTTTTTCCTTTTTTTAAAAAAAAAAATTCCAGAAGTATGCAGTGTAAAAAAAAAAAAAAGTACGTATGCAAATTGACATTTGTATTGTCTCTGAGATCAGCAACAGTGCACAGATCCAAAATAGAACATTATTCTGTAGGATTTCTAGAAGTTCAGAATGAACAGATGGGTAGACTGTCACATAGACCTGCAAATGGTGTTTGGAGTAGACAGGGAAGAAACCTTTCCTCATGTATACAAGCGCAATATTCATATTGTTACTTAGATAGGTAGAGCAAAGCAAAAGGTGTCATTTGATGTCAAGTTACCTGACTTCAATTAAATTGTTGTTTGTTTATGCCTTAAGCAGACATTACCATAGAAATCAGCCAGCTAAAATGTAACAAATTATTGAAAAAATAAAATAAAATAAAAATCAACAACCCTAAAATCTTTTTCTCTTCAGGATCTCAGGTTTCCAATTAACTGGGTGGGATTCTTCAGTCTGGAAGAAAAAAAATAATGTCCATCAATGAAAAATTTAAACTGAAAAAATTGCAAAAATCAGATCATGGCAATTCTCTTCAATCTAGAATTTAAGTGTAGGAGAACTCCGAGAATTTTAAATTCACTATTATCTTTTTCCATCATAAACATTCAACAGTCAATGTATTATTTTAATTAATTATAGTTTTAAACAAGTATTACTAGTGAACTGGGAACTTACAGCTGTTTCATCCTCTTTGTAGACCTTAATGGTTTTGTCAGCCTCCGCTGTTATAAGCCGACTCTCCGACTGATCAAACACGCATGCAAAAATCCCTGACTCGCTGTCCAGAGAACCGGGCTGCACTGCTGCATGAATCCTCTGGAAGTTGTAGCCAGTCCTCCAATCCCACATGTGAATAGTTCCATTATCAGCTGATGTGAAAAACAACAGAAAGGATAGTCAGGACATGATGCAACAATAGTGAATTAAAAAGTGAATTAAAAAAAGTTAAGTCCACATTTAATGCCTTTCCCTCACTAACTACCCTTCATCTCGTTCACATGGATGACCATCATTGCTTGAGTTGCACAAGAGCCCACAACTGGCAGAACCCTTGCAATGGGTTTAAATGTAACACCCTAAGCCCTTGATCACTTGGAATCTGCTATGGGTTTGATGTCACAATCTTGTGGTATTGTCTATGGATCGGCCTAAAGTGTACATATCAGTAGACTTGCTCCCTCAGACAAAATTGAGTCGTTCAAATAATCTTCCCTCATCCACTTGACGGAGCTGAACGCACTTCAAAATTGCAGCCATGATTCCATCATTGGAAGTTTACAAGTATATGTTTAGAAGTGAAGTTAATAAAGAAATGACCAGCAACCCTGCCTTGGAAAAAACTTACTTATGTCGTTAAAGGGAAACTAAAATACTTTGATAATATTTGGGCACCTTTCTTACATTATTGTAACCAAGTTGACCAGACAATATGGGATGATTGAATTACTTTTCTGTAGTGGTCATGTCCAAATTTAACTCAGTTCATATAATCCAGCAAAACAAATAATGGCTCTGGTAAAATAGAATTAAACTACAAAATGTAGTAATTTCAAAATTTATATTTTATGTATTTTATTTTATTTTACTTTATTTGGTTTAGGATGTCCTGTAATTTGTATCTCATAATCTTCATTTTTTTAATTGTTTATTTGTTTTTTACATTTTTTTTTTTTTTGCATGACTAGCTTTGCAACATAAAAAAAGTTAAAAATTTCACCTCCGGACACCAGAACACCATCTGAATTGACAGCCAGTGTGTTGATAATGGCATTGTGTCCTGAAAGATTTTGGATGAAGTTCCCATCAGGAAACTTCCACTGCTTAATGTTATCTGGAGAGCCAGAGGCAAAGGTGTACCTGTTGACGAGAGGATGCGATTTAAAAAAAACCAAGAATATACTTTAAACAAATCTGGGGAACTGGAACTCAGATTGTGTGGGAGATAACCAACAATATAGAACAATGATTTATTTGATTAGGGCCATACACTTTCTGTGACTTGGAAAACACAAAATGAATTAAAATCAACAAATGATGGCCAAAAAAAAAAAAAAGAATATTAGAAGAATATTTTAACTGGATGCATGAAAACAAAAAAATATTAAATTATTGAAAGCAGCATTATATGTCCTGTGCATGGACCTTGTACACTCAATCACTGCCTCCTAATCTTTCATCCATCATTTTAAAAAAAAATCTAATTGGGTTTGATTTTCTGCATTTTTTAACTCCGTAGCAAGCATTTTAATAGGAATTGACAATTCAGAGCCACCAAATGACGAATACGAAAAAACAGATTCGTAAAAACAGAAAATTTCGGACTCTGCGTGTAAGGACCTTTACATGAGTATTTTTAAACTAAATGTCAGCACAGCTGTGATTTTGTTTTAGCCAATGATGTTATTTTTAACTAAAACTATTACATTTTAGATGAAAAACTTAAATGCAAAATAGTGTTGACAAGTAAATGAGATTAGCCTAAATTTGAAGCACTAAAATTACAACTTCAAAATTAAGGCCTATATAAATATAAAGAAAACTGAAAAAAAGACAAAAGCACAAAACTATAAAACTTAAAACTAAAATTAAAACTGAATAAATACTACATGAACAATACTAAAATAACACTGATTATATCATTATATATTATACAGTGAAACTGCTGTAAGGCATGTTTGCACAATTACGCTGTAAAGCTCTGAATTGAAGCCATTGATCTGATAAAATAAGTTTACATTGTACATAATTAAAAAAAAAAACATTTTAGTTTGTTTTTTCTTTGTTAAAAATGAATGTTTTTGTTAATGTTTTTTTTTTTTAATGAATACATTCAATTTAACAAAACAAAAAAATTATTAAGTGCAGATATTGGCAAGCAAAAAAATAAAAAAAATAAAGTGCATTTCATAGGGCCATAATTTATTCCGTGTACAGGTTTACTGTGCATCATGTTTTTGAGAAAAAAAAAAAAAAAAAGACTGTTCAACATACTGCCTGGGATGGAGCACCAACGCTCTGACAGACTTTTTGTGGTTAGTCAGTGTGGCTCTTGTCTTGCCAGCGATCAGATCCCAGAGTCTAATGGTGGTGTCATGACTTCCTAAAGATGGGATATAAAGCACATGAAAATAATCTAGAACACCACATGGTACTTCCATGAAAAATGCACCAGCAGCAGAAGTCTGTTCAAAAGGTAATGTAAAAAAAATAAAATGTATGCATACCTGTAATCACCTGTGGCTCAGCGCTTTGACATTTGACTGTAGCCACTGTGTTGGTGTGTCCAGAAAGGGTGTGAACATTTGCCTTGGTCCTGATGTCCCAAACCTACCACACATAGAAAACATACACTTTGCATAACATGTTCATGATATCATGATCCTTTATAAAAAATAAAAATAATTTAAAAAAAAGTTATACTCTTGCTGTGGCATCTCGACTGCAGGTCACCAGTACGTCAATGGTAGGATGGAGGTCAAGGTCGTAGACCGCACTCAGATGACCGTGATAGTGTCTTATTACCTGTGTACAACAAAAAAACTCAAAATGTATCTATATCGGTCGGTATCTTTTAAGTAAAGCTTAAAATTGATGCACATGGTTTGTATATGTATTGTAAGTTTGTACCTTGTTATACTCTAGATCCCAGCATTTAACCTGTTTGTCCTCCCCGCAGGAGAACAGGTAAGGGCTGCGTGTGCTGACGGCCACACCTCTCACCGTGCTAATGTGACCCGTCAGAGACAACTTCAGCCTACCGCTGGCAAGATCCCAGATCTGGCATTACAGAACAAAAGCTTAACACAATTCAGTGATACATTAAAAAGAGATACAAAGTATCGGCCGATTGTTTAAAAACAGCCATTGATGAGGGCCAATTATATCCTGCCTAGGGTTGGGCATCGAGAACTGGTTTCAACTTGGAACTGTTTAAAAAATAACGATGCCATTGGAATTGTTTAGAATTTTTTTTTTTTGATTCCGATCATCGGTACAAAAAACATGCAAGTTTTGGTCCATAGCGGCCATCGGATTTTTTGAAGTGCTTGCCGCGCCCGTTTGTTCTGTAACAGCCATGGAGCACAGTAAGCGGCGCTCAAAAGTGTGGCTTTATTTCACCTTAATAAAGCCTGGGTAGGCACAGTGATTTTCATTTTCACTTGAATTAGGGCTGTGAAACGATTAATCGCGATTAATCGCATCCAAAATAAAAGTTTGTGTTCACATTATATGTGTGCGTAGTGTGTATAATTATTTTCTATACATAAATACACACACATGCATGTATATATTTAAGAAATATTTGCATGTATATAATTGATATACATTTATACAAAATTAATATTATACATAAATATTTGATATATTAATAACACATTTTTCTTAAATTGTACATCTTTTGTCCCGCATCTCTCACGGAGCGACGACAGTGGAGAGAGGAGGCATGATTTTACGTTGTGATTTTATGCTCTGTTTTGTATGTTGTCCGTGAGGAGCTGCTGGCTTTATACTTTCATTTAGTATTTGTTTATTTATTATTAAACTCGTTCGTGGGTCCCGCCTCCTTCACATCAACAACTGAACCCCATTACAAATGTAGTGGCAAACCTTATCTAGCATTAGGCCTACATATGGCTAGAATAATTACTTGAATATTATTTGTTACGGTAGTTATCATTATATATGTTACATTAGTTACCGTTATATTATCTTACTAGCTATTTATAACTTCTAGAAAGGGCTCAACGTTATAAAGTTACATTAAATCAGAGAATGTCTAATTGAAGAGAACTGGCACTGGCTGGTTACTTCCGGGTTCTGGACTGGCTGCAGTAACACGTCTCTGTCCATGCGGGGGCGCTCACGGTCGAGTGCAGAATGAATGGGAGTCAATGGGGTTTCACCCCCATTAATCCACTTTTCTCAGGATGTAATTTTTTGTCAAGTAATTTGAAAGTTGCATTCAAAAGGGAGGGCTAAGATAATACACTCAGCTGAAAATTGCATTTTTAAGTTCACTTATCTGTTCTAAAAATCAGTTCAAAAATGTGATGACGTCACAAAATAGCAGAATGCTAGCGTGTTCCAGCCAACAACAGCCTAACCTGTAAGAAATCAAAAGGACATAAGTACTCGTTCATTCGATTTTTGGCCTATAATCTATATTGAACTGGCGTAATCAACAATAAAATCGATGTTAATTTAACGACAAGCAGGTGAAAGAGACACTTTTAGCCGTTTAGCCCCCTAGACTCCCATTCATTCTGCTCTCACCCGCGATCCCCTCCAGTGGAATTCTAATGGAACTGCAACCAGGATGATACACAACGGGGCTAATAGGAAGTGCCAAGGCGCTCCGTTAGACGGGCTCTGATTAAATGTATTGCAAAATACTTAATGATTTGAGGACCAAGTTTGTAGTCAAAGAATGGGCAGGGCTTAGTCAATGTAAAGCATATTCTTGATGTTTCATCCCTACTAGTGAATATAACTATCTGCCGTCATTGGTGTCCGCGTTAACGGCAGGCTCCACTGTGGGGGAGGAGATGTGGAGGCAGAGCAAGGGGGTGGGACCTGCAAGTTATGCTTGTTCAAATTTTCAAGCTAAGTCAACATTTTCTCAAAAGTTACCTAACTTGCCCTAAATTCAACAGAGATGTTTTTCCCACACAGTATGGGTTGCAGTCTGTACACACAAATCACGCAGCCCTAATCTGAAGTCACATAGATCACCTTAATTGTTCTGTCTGCTGATCCGGTCACAAACCACTGGTTTCCAGGCTCCACTGCTATAGATCTCACCCAACCCAGATGGCCACTGATGACCTGAGAGACAACCAGAGAAGAACATTATTACCAATGAAACACCATCATTGTAAACTGCCCTTTTGGACCAGTGCAATAACGGTCTTTAAAAATGATGCCACAGACATACAACCTAATACAAAGTACAAAAACAAATTTTCTATTCACGAGTTCTCAGGAGCAATATGAACCAACATGCTGATCAACTTCTGGAGGTGGACAAAGCACGTACTCTGTACAGTTTCCATGGTGGATGCCACTGAGGTTTGGGCATGGTAGGAGCCTTTCTTGGCAGCAGGCCAGAACTCTTTGTTCCTCCTTCCATAAGAGACTGCAACGGGAAAAGGAAAGGTTGATGCTGCATATTTGAAAAACTTTTTGTGAAAAACTTTTTTCTATTACAGTTTGTGAGGTTTAGATAGCCTACTAAAATAAACATAAAATAAACAAGTTCAGTCATCTCTCATTCATGAAATCAAGGAAACAAGCTTTCAAGCGACAAACAGAATTGAGTGGATGGAAGGTGCTTCTGATTTTTAAACTATAAAAAGCATGTTCAGTAACTGACAAAACTAATTAAAGCACATAAAATTAGTAACACTTTTAAATTAAAACTGAAAAAACAAAAAAGAAAGGTGGTGCTCACCAGTGCGTGTTGTGGGGGGTGAGATCTCTCTGCACCTCCTGCATGTCTGTGGATATCCGCCACACTGGCTGCAGTTCGACTGGCTTCCTGCCTAAAAAGCACAGAAAAAAAAAAAAAAATCAAGCCTATTTTTACACTTTAATTGGTCTCAAAATGATCAAACAAGTGAACAGCACTAAATTCAAGAGAAGAATGGTCTCTTGAATGGTCAAAACTTTAGCATGCGTGAGTGAGTGAGTTGAGCACTTCAAAACAATGGTGCACTTGAAAGTGCACATACAACAACCACATATATATACAAGTTCAAGGTCAGTATAACTGGGCCTTTAAAAGAAAATGAGAGATTGTAGTTTGAGGTATTGGTGTTTAGCTTAGTACCTAGCTTGAGAGGGAGGAAGAGCCAAAGCCATGGAGTGAACACCTGCTTCACTGGGCATCTTCTGCATCTGTGTGTCTGAAGTGAGGGCCACTCCTGAAAACATTCGGAAAAAAAATATATAATAATTTGACCCTTCGCTAAGCCCCGCCCTCCATAGTTACTGTTGCTACGCCTGTGAAGCTTTCACGGCTGGCACATCTATTATAGTGTGGATGCACCAGTGTCAGACATTCCCAACGAGATAATTAGTCATTTTTGGCAAACATGTGAAATATCTGAGAGAGCAAGACAAAAGGGACTGCAGTATTCCATTCGAGGGATATATCCACGACATAATATGCAACCGATTAGAGAATCATTTCTTAAAAATTGAAGCTAAAGGCTAACGTTATAGTCGTAACGCAAGCAGCAGCTGCCTCATATTCAAATGGGAAACACACAAATTGAGGAAGAGCTACGCTTGTGCACAGCAGGGTATGTGAAAATAATCCCAATAATTATAAACCTTATATATTTAAGCTTATCCATAAATCTTTTGGAATAACACTAACACAGGGAGAGCGGCGATCGGATTGGGTTAAAGTTACTTAGGAGTAGTAGCCTACAGGCCGTTGATTAACAAAATGCTGAAATATATTTTAAAGTATGTCAGTGAGCCTCCGTCTTTTCTTTAATCGTCTTATTTTACGTTAAAATGTATGTATTATGACCAAAGAACCATTAATATTTCCAAACAAAAGGTGTTTGTTAATCCTGTTGACATTTAGTTGTGAATGGGTCTCCCACACTGCTCGATCACGCCCATCACTTCTCCCCTCGACTTTCAGATTTTCGGGAGGGAAAATAATTCCACTCCCCCGTCCAAACTTTTAGGATACCGGGTATCAGATTTGCACAATCCATTAGCACAATGCTTCAGCATGTTTCCCTCGCTCAAAAGCTTGCCAGACCCCCAGCGCCTAGTTACGGTTGCTAAGACACGATTGGCCGGTGGCGGTTTTCGGGCGTGGCTTAGCGAACTGTTAATTCGGCCTCGGAAGAAAATACAGAGAAAAATGTTCAGCATCTAGGTTCTCAGGCTTAAAGGAAAGGACATTGAAAACATCAAGTCTTACCTGGAGCAGATGGGTATGGATGAGTTCCCATCACCAAGTAATCTGGACTAGTATCTGCATTAATAAAAGTAAAACAATTAAAACTGATGAATCGATGTTGCTGATTTCTCTAACAAACCTTGTAAGAGCTTCAATCACTAAAAAACAACAACAATACCACTATATAAAAGGCCAAAAAGAAAGACATACCAGGCAGGGGGTATTCCGGCAAGCCATATGGATCAGAGGCATGGAGTGGTCCTTTGTCTCTGCCCTCTTTCAGCACAGGCATGTCTAACACAGGTCTGTACTCGGTTTTCATCTTCACTGCCATCTTCATTTTGAAGCTAAAAACATTTAAGGTACAAGTAATGTTAACTAGCATTGTTTACAGCAAAATTAAAAATGAAAAAAAAAAGTAGTCGCAACTTTCAATATCACAAAACGTCTTTATTTTTTCCCCAAAACAAGAAGTTTACATCTCACAATTCTGACTTTTTTAATTGCGCGTTTATAAATTGCATTTGTGTTTATAACTCAATTTACAACTCAACTGCGAGCTTCAGCTTATATTTTGAAATTCTGACTTTTTTAACAATTGCAGGAAAACTAAAACTAATTTTGACATTTAACTGTCATGAGTCTATAAATATTGGTGTTTTTTACGTAACGTTAGCTAGCTTTAGTTGTTTATCGGTAACTTAGTTTGTTTTGAATTGCAGTTATATAACGTGAGCTACTACTAGCATAATGTCAGTTTGGTTTCATTTACATCAAAGACTGAGATCAGTAATCCCGTTCTACCAAATCTCTTCAACAATATTGTGCATGCTAACACTTACCTGTGTTCGTCCAGCGCTACTGGTTTAGCATGATCTGACACAAACATATCATGAGTCCTTTTCAAAGAGCGAAACACCAGCGTGTGGACCGAGTGCTTCTGCACGTCCTATAGGAATCAAAACACAGGATATCAAAATCAGATGATCGGTTTAGTCAGATAAATAAGTTAACGTTACTATTACATTTGTACGTTATATCTAGAATACCACACATGTGCAGAAATACAGCACGCCGGTTTCATTCACAAACTTTTCACAAAACTAAGCAGCTAGACTACCAATCTGAAACACTCGCCAATGAACCAAATTCACCGCTTTACCTCAGTCATGTTTGTGGGTTCCCCAAAACACGAACACGATACTAAAATATATAAAAACTTCGCCACACAACAAACAATCACAACCTGACCCGGACATGAAAATGTAATGCTTCCGATCAAACACAAACTGTCTTCCGGTAGAACATGACGTCAGAATGACACAAAAGTCTACATAACTGAATGTTTAAATAAAGCATTTAAAATAAATTTGGACCTACATGTAAATAATATGGATTTATAGGAAATGTAACTTACACATTTATGCAGTAAAATTCGGTTAGGTTTGGTCATCCTTGGTTACTCTAATTTTTATTTCGGACGAAACTTTGTCTTTTATGTAGCCTATGTTATTTTACAAACATATTTTCATATTTAATATTTTCATTAGTTCCAAGATTTAAACTTTAAAAGTACACTGCAACCAAAATCCAGTTTTCATTTATTAATTCATGTACGAATAGTCTATAGATTTATTTATTTATTTATACTGGCTGCAACTAGACAGACTACATGAAGCATAGTAGGCTGATGTTAAAAGTATAGGCTAAATTAGGGGTGTCCAAACTAACTGATCAACTGATCGCGGTTTATGATATCAACCCTGCTAAAAAATACAGCTAAAACCAGCCAAGGCTGGTTGGCTGGTTTTGGCTGGTCTTCCAGCCTGGTTATTGGTTTATCAGGCTGGTTTTAGAGGGGGTTTGAACACTTTTTCAGCTGGTCAGGCTGGTCTTAGCTGGTCAAGTTGGTTTTAGCTGGTCAGACTGGTCTTAGCTGGTCAGGCTGGGAGACCAGCTTGACCAGCTAAGCCAGGCTGGGAGACCAGCTTGACCAGCCAGGCTGGGAGACCAGCTTGACCAGCTAAGTCAGGCTGGGAGACCAGCTTGACCAGCTAAGCCAGGCTGGGTGACCAACTAAAACCAGCTACTTCCAGCTTAAACCAGCTAAGACCAGCCAACCAGCCTAGGCTGGTTTTAGCTGGATTTTTCAGCAGGGAAAGTTCTGTGAGCGTGATTATAGAGCAGACGGCTCCATAATCTTTTGAATCGCTCTTGAGATATTTTGATGTCATAAACCAAATGGTCTGTGCAGCGCCACTTTAAGTCGACCAAGCCTTTTGCGTCCTCTTTCAACACTTGTGCACATGACTCCATATTTGTCCCAAGAAAAGTGGAGTCACCTTCATTGGTGATGTGATCAAAATGACATACAGTAGCTTAAATAAGTATTTTTGAAAACTTTACATTATATATTTTGAGAGGAGACTGGCTAGCACTCAGTTTTAGGTGCAGGTTTTATATCATGCATGGGGATTTAGAGCTGATGGGTATATTGTGCTGCAGTTGTACATTCACTTAAGGGCAGTCTAGCCACTGTTTCTTGTGTATTTAAGTTTTCTATTGTGTTTTTTTTTCTTCTTGATATTGATGTTTAATGTGATTTATATTACACATTGTTTGTGTTATTTGCTTCTTGTTTCTGTGGAACTGCTGTGTTACAGTGCTCAGTGACTTTATACAGGGCCAGGCCTGCATTGACACTTAACCTCCCTGGGTGTGATTTGGGTGGTGTGGCACTGTTCTGTGGTGTGTATGTTGGTACTGTAATGGTGATTAAAGATTACTTCTTATTTGCAGGATGCTGTGGGTTTTCTTCTGTTTTCTTCTTCTGTCTCTTACAGCTGGCAGGAGGTCCATAAGAGCAGGCCTGACCCTCTTGCAGCCTTGCAGAGAACTATTTCCTACACTCTAAAAAGAGATGTGTTAAAAAACAACACACATCATGTGTTGATGGTATTTTGACACAAGTTGTGTAGTTTTAACACACAATGTGTGTTAAAATGTAACTGGATAGAATTTTAATGGGTGGAGGGAAGTTTGTGTTTATGAACCTAATTAGAGGTAGTATATTTTATATGGTATCCCATAACAAGCTCTAAAATAAATGAAACAATACATTACAATAAATAAATAAAATCTTAATTCATAAAAAACTTCAGATTAATGAGTGTTTTTGGCAGCCAATCACATCATGCCTCGGTTTCAATGTTTTTTTTCAAATGCTGATTTCACTTGTTATTAATAACTAATTTATTATAACAAACAATTTATTTCTGTCAGACGTCTACAGAAACACTTATTGAGAATTACCAGGTTTTGTGTTGACGATTTATTGAATGTTTGTTTTGATGTCACCAGAATCGTGATTAGTGGCAGCTTTATTTAGGCTCTTGACCCTTCACTCTTTACCATTCGTTTCTCTGTTTGCTGTTTCTGTGTATTTTTTATTGCACATCTGAAACAGTTGAAATTATCTTGAAGAAAAAGATCATTAAATGATCATTTTTCAACATGATGTTTTTTAACATAGCAAGTTTAATGTTTAAGAGATAACGTATATTTGATCACTTATATTTGATTACAGATACTCAGTTTTTACATGATATTATGGTGTATGTTACCTTATGCTATAATTCTTTAAAAAAATATGTTTAGAGACAGTTTAAAGCTGCAGCAGAAACTAGTCAAATACAGACATCAATAATCAGCATATGACTCTCAACAATGGTGGCAAAGCTTCATGTCTCTAGTACAAAGCTCATCCATAAGTCCCAGCATGCATTGCGGCATGAAACTTTTCGTTTGTCACCATTATTGAGATCCATATGCTGATTCTTGATATCTGTGTTTGACTGGTTTCTGCTGTAGCTTTGAACTTTTTTTGTCATTCTGCACTTTTGGATAGCTGGATGTAATTTCACAAAACTTTCAGAACTAACAATACAGCATTAAAATAAAGCACACCATCCATATACTCAAAAACTTGATCATAACTTGTTAATTATGACATCATCAAGAACCTTCTGATCATATTTTCTGTCACCATAACAGATGTATTTTATTAAAATACAGTTACAGCAGGCAGAGAAACACTAAAACAAGAGTAAAGGGTCAAGAGCCCAAATAAAGGAGCCATTAATCACGATTCTGGTGACTTGAAATAAAACTGAAATGAAACATCAAACCTCTGTTAATTCTCAATAAGAGCTTGTCTATGTAGATTAATGATGTTTAAAACATCCAAATGTTCAAACAAACTCTATTAAACATCACTGGACTACATAAACACAAGTTACCAATACGTGTCAGTGTTCATCCAAACACTATTGTAAGCACACGGGAAGTAACTCTGGCAAATACTCTCCGACTATCACATGTGACGCATATCTGACACAAGTTGTGTTACTATAACACATTAGTGTGTAAAAGGTTTCAACAACACACTGCTGCTGTCTAACACATTAGTTGTGTTAAACGTAACACAAAATGTGTAATCCTTATAAACACAGAGATGTGTAAAGAAACGACACAGGTTGTGTGTTAAATTTGACACAACATGTGTTGTCCTTGAGCAAACACACTACATGTGTTAAAATCTACAAAACGGGTAAAAATCTACACAACATGTGTTAAAATCTACACAAAATGTGTTGTCCCTGAGCACACACACTACATGTGTTAAAATCTACACAGCATGTGTTAAAATCTACACAAAATGTGTTGTCCCTAAGCACACACACTATATGTGTTAAAATCTACACAGCATGTGTCATTTTTAACATCTCTTTTTACAGGTTGTGTTATTTACAAAATAATTTTATAAGAGTGCACCAGTGTAAATAAAACTTATTTACACACAATATTTTGTCAGTTGCTACATTTTAATCTAATTCAAAGTGCAAACTTAGTGAAATCACACTCCCTGTGTTAAGAACAATAACACACTGGTTGAGTTAAAAGTAACACAAAATGTGTTGTCCTTAACTAGACACACAGGTGTGTTAAGATATAACACAGGTTGTGTTGTTTTAACACATCCATTTTAAGAGTGTACTTCCAATTTGATTATGGATACATTGATGGTCTGTGTTGGAACAGTAAAATTGTAATTTTGTTACAAACTTCATTTTTTGCTTAGAATCAATGTGTGGAGGGCTCCCCCTGCCTTGAATAAGGAGGAGGCGAATACCTTATATTTTCTACACTACAATATTGTCAGATGTATCACAGGAAGTGATTTGTATCATTGAGGAAACATTGTACCATAATGGAATCGCATAAGGCATACCAGGTATACTAGTTTGGAATTTTAATTTGTAAGGAAAAGAGTTCAAATTGTTTTAATGTATTTGCATTTTTGCATGATTTTGTAATGCATTTATAAGAATAGTAATTCACATACTCTATCTGCATACATTATGATTTACTGTCAATCATCCAAAAACCACTGCAGAACCATGACTATTAACGCTGGATTGCTTTCATCAGACAGTTCATTGGACGGTTTGGGTTGAAAGAAAGGGGCAATGCAAATACCCAGGTTGTTCAGGCATTGTAAAAGTGCAGTGCTCAAAATTGGCAATCTATGTGTTTTTCTGTTGAGAGGAATGGCTTCCTCAACTGTTTACAAGCAGTGAGGAAGGACATTTTGTGTGTATGTAGGTCCTTGTGAGTGCATGTGCATGCTTGTAAGGATAGCGGAAATGGAGGTTATGGTGATTTTTAATGTTTTACCATGAAACAACACTGATTTTAATGTTCGATATAACTTGATGATGTGATGGTTTGGTAAAAAACTTGTGTTTACGATGGCCAAAGCAGGCAACATTGTTTATTCAAGAGTTTTCAATAGATATATTAATTTTTTCTGCATGAAAATGTCAAATGTTTCAATTTGTTTGGTGTGGTACAATGTTGCTTTGAGGCCACAAACTTTTAATAAATAAATAAATGTAAAAATAATGAAAATGTTTATTGATCTTGTTAAAGTGTCCAATTTTAAGCAGGAGAAACATTACAAATAATATTTTTTTCTTCATTGATATCATAGAGGGTTTAGTTCAGGGGTGTGTTCCAAACCTGTATGAATTTCTTTCTTCTGCTGAACAAAAAATAAGATATTTTCAAGAATATTGGTAACCAAACAGTTTATGGGCCCTATTGACTTCTTCGATTGTACGTAGTGAGAGAAAAAAAAAATGTTATGGAAGTCAATGGGTCCCACCAACTGTTTGGGTACAAACATTCTTTAAAATATCTTCTGTGTTCAGCAGAATAAATAAATTAATTCAGGTTTGGAACAACTTGAGGGTGACTAAATTATGACAGTTTTCATTTCTGGGTGAACTATCCTTTTACATTAACATTTATTACATTTAATAATTCAGCATATTTAATATTTTGGGGATTGGTCCATAATGGCTACAATAGGCTTTTTTCTTGTGAACGCAATGTTCAAACTTGGTAAACATGAAAAACAGAACACTCTGAGAAATATACAAAATAATCTTATTGTTTTATTGGTCTCCTTGTTTGGCATCATTAAATAGTTCAATAGGTTCACATAAATAAATGTTAATTTCTAAAACCATGGCACACTTACAGTATCTCCAGAGTTTAATATAGGTTGGAAAGAAATCTGTGATCTCCATATACTAAATACCTTGCTTTTCTATTTTAATATAATAACATTTTATTAAAGCTATAGAGGTGTATAACATCTGACATGTCTATCAGACTAAACACCTTAATAAATGATAAAGGGGTTGCACATCTTGCATCTTGACATCTTTTGTTGACATCTCTTGTCTATCACTCCCTCCACCACACCACTTGGGGCTCTATAGGCCCACCACACCCTGCCTAAAAGGAATCTGGGTTAGCTCACACAAATGTAATCAAATGTAAGGCTTTTAAGATCTTAAGATTTTAATCCTTAACAGTCACTGTACCTTAGTTCTATGATTTTTCCTATAACATCTAAAAAAGGTTTAAATTAATTTGCCTAAAATATTTTGGATGATTCAATAAGGCATCATACGAAAATGTACCATGGTTTTATTATAGTAAAAGTAAAAGTGTAGTAACCATGTTTATTTTGGCGGATTGATTAACATATAACAGTTTTACAACAAATGCAATTGTTAAATGATGATCATGTAGCAAAACCATGGATAATTTGTGGTTTGCATCAAATTGCATGGTTAATTTTCTAATATAATATAATATAATATAATATAATATAATATAATATAATATAATATAATATAATATAATATAATATAATATAATATAATATAATAATCAGGGAATTATAAAAATATAAATTGCAGCCAGGAGGTCGATCTTTTACACCTGCTTCAAGATACTGCGCGTCACGTGACAGGGAGAGTATTCAGGCGCGCGTGCGGCTCGACATAAGACACTTCATGCTGATCTTCTTTTCATGTGCCGCGTTCAGCTCTACCTCACCGGGAGAAGGTGATTCTATATTGAACCTACACATACACACAGCGGAATAGTGACGGTTGGGACGACAAGGAGGAAGATTCGCCCCTGAAGAAGAGCGGTTTGGAGAGTGAACTTCAGCCCAAAGCTGTAGTGCGAAGACGTTATTTCCTCGTTATAATGAATGTAACCTATAGCCTTCTGATGTTTTGACATGAAGATGGTGTTTTACGTAAGGACTCTACTCTTGTTTCTCTTATTATTTTGTGAGGACGGTTGCGCACATGTGTTCAATCTCAGTCTCTCCATAGAGGAAGGTTTACCTGCAAAAACTATCGTCGGCGATTTAAGTGTTGGACTACCGACGCAAACCCACATTTCTGGATTCTTTATATCTGAGAGCAAAGATTCAGATGTGTTCAGAGACTTTGAGATCAATGGAGACTCCGGGATCATCTCCACAGCCGTGGTGTTGGATCGAGAGCGCACAGATAAGTACGAGTTCGCGGCCGCCGCTTTAACAGGAGAGGTTATTAAAGTAAGCATCGAGGTGAAGGACGTGAACGATCATTCCCCCGAATTCCCTGTAAAAACAATCCATTTGAATGTGTCTGAATTAAGCCCACCAGGAAGTCGTTTTGAGTTGGAAGGAGCTCAGGACCAGGATAAGGGTGATTATGGCACTCAGGGCTACAGAATTACAGATGGAGACATGAGGAAACTTTTTAAAGTGGAGATCCGCAGTAGTGGAGGTGCTATGTCAAATTTAGACCTTATTCTGCAAGCAAGATTAGATAGAGAAACTACAGACTTCTACAATTTCACAATTGAGGCATTTGATGGTGGTGAACCATCCAAAATAGGCCAATTACAAGTACATGTTACTGTACTTGATGAAAATGACAACCAGCCTGTGTTCAATCAGTCAGAGTATCATGCTGTCTTATTGGAAAGCACCCAATTGTTAGCACCAGTCTGCCAGGTATTTGCCACAGACCCAGATCTTGGCAGCAATGGTCGAGTCACCTATGAGATAAACCGCCGTCAAAGTGATCCAAATGAGTTTTTCATTATTGATATTTCCTCAGGTATCATTAGTGTAAATAAGCTTTTGGACTATGAAAACCAGTCATTTTTTGAGCTCATTGTGACAGCATGGGATTCTGGGATTCAACCTGAATCCTCCAACACATTTGTAAGTATTAAAATACTGGATGTCAATGACAACCACCCAAATATTAGCATCCTATTCCTAAATGAGGCCGGAGCACCTGAAGTATCCGAAGGAGCAAGACCCGGAGACTATGTTGCCAGGATTGCAGTCTCAGATCCAGATTTAGGAGATATCAATAAGATTAATGTACTTCTCCAAAGTGAGGATGGGATGTTCTCCCTCAAATCCACTGATGATTTTCTTTACGTCCTCTGTGTGGATGGCCCACTGGACCGAGAGTTAAAGGACTTGTATAAGCTCACTGTGACTGCCACAGATTCCGGCTCTCCTCCTCTGAGCAGTGAGATAACATTTCAGGTTCAAATAACAGATTTGAATGACAATCCACCCGTTTTTGATCAAAACATCTATGATGAGAGCATTTCTGAGGATGTGCTTGAGGGAACAGCTCTCTTCCAAGTCAAGGCTATGGACAGAGATCTAGGAGGGGATTCTGGAATCACCTACTCTATTGCACAATCAGAGCAGGAGCATCTGTTTAACATAGATCCAACATCAGGTCTCATTACTACTGCTGCAGGCCTAGACCATGAGCGAGAGAAGGAACTGAGGTTCTTAGTGGTGGCTTCCGATGGTGGTTCTCCTTCCCTGTCCTCCACGGCCACTGTGACCATCCACGTGGTGGATGTCAATGACAATAAACCTATATTCCAACAACAGTTCTATAATGTAACCGTCAAAGAGCACACAGCTGTTGGGACATGCATCCTACAGGTATTTATGATTATGCTCCTTTTCAAGAAATTGTTCTGCAGCCAGTTTGATGATGGTGATAAAAGAATGCCACTATTATTTGTAAGAAGAATAAAACATTTAAATGAGTATTAGTTACCCCAGTTAACCCAGAAATAGAAAAAAAAAATCTGTCATGATTTGCTCACCCTCGTGTTGTTCCAAACCTGCATGACTTGCTTTTTTTCTACACAAAATGAGATATTTTGTTGAGCGTTGTGACCAAACTGTAACCATTGACCATTATTTTGTTACAAACCAGAAGCTGAAATGAATAAGACATGAAAAATAATAGTGGCATATTATTATCACCATCAATTTTGTTTTAATTTTTGGGTGAACAATTACAAACAAGCAAGAATAAAAAATTAATTCAGGTGCAATCAAAAAGAAGTTGATGAATGAAGCTGTTGCTCAACAAATTAATCATTGTAGGGATCAGAATGTCAGAAACCCAGTTACTATCACAACAACACACACACACACACACACACACACTCACTCTCAAAACAGAGACAGTACTAAGACTTTTTGTCGAGACAAAGAAAATAGTGTTGCAAAATTGCCACAACACACTGCACACTGTTTTGGCTCCTTGTGTGTGTAGCCTGGCACAATTGTACATTGTATGACTAATGAAATCATGTTTGTAGTTTAAAATTGTTATAGAAACACCTACCCTACTATTTAAAAGTCTGGGGTTGGTAAGTAAAGTAGAAATAAAGGAGAAGAAGTAAAAATAAAGACATTTACAATGTTACAAAAGATTTCTATTTCTAGTTCTTAAACACTTTCTATTCATCAAAGAATAGAAAAAAAAAAAATTCACAGTTCCCCAAACTGTAAATCAAATGACACTGAAGACATAAAATTATATATATATATAGTACTAATATTTTACAATAATGATTTTTAACGATACTTGATCAAATAATGCTGCCTAGTGAGCATAAGATAATTCTTTCAAAAACATTTTAAAAATAATACAGATATTAAATTTATGTACCTTGTGTTCCGGGCATGCTACGTCAAGCTCCTTTTATTCATTTTAATAAATATTTATAAGAATCTTAAACATTTTAATTAAAGACTATTTTGTGGTCTCTCTCCAGGCACCCACATTGATTATATGCATCAAAACATTCAGAACAAATAGTTTTTCTTGACAATGGATTTACTGCACTGTGCAAAAGTTTTATGCACTATAAAATTGCTGTAGAGTGAGAATGTTCAAAAACAATAGGATACATTGAATATTTTTTTTTTTTTGTTATCAGCGAACTTTATAAACCAAATCATATTAATATTTGGTGTGACCACCATTTGCTTTTAAATTAGCACAAATTCTAGATTTTTTGTGCATTCTTATGGACATTTTTGTCGTTTTCAGTTTTTTTTTTTGATCACTTTGCCTATGTTAATGCTAAGTGCATCAAATTTGTCACAGATTGGAATTTTACTATTTCATTTATTTAAAAAATAAATTTTGCACTAGGTACACAAAATGCTCCCTCTCAGCGCCTTTTGTACAAAAATATCCTCATTAAAACCCATTAAAACAGCAGCTTTTTTTTTCCAGGGCCATTTAACTATAAAATGATGCCATTCCGTTGGCAAGGCTTCAAAATTGACATTTTACATTTTTTTTAATCAGATGGTGCCATTTTTTTTTTTAATGAATTTATTTATTTATTTATTTTACTTCAGCAATAATCTGCCAAGGGTCTTCTTTAAAATGAGACCAAACTTAAGTCTGTGCTCCAAGCCTATGTGTAACTTTTTTTATTTATGCACAAGGGTTAAGGAAGTTTGCATCCTAGAGAAGTTTCAGCAGTTCTGTAGATTTAGACTTTAGTCTCAATTGCTTCTGTCTCTTCATGTAATCCCAGACTGACTCTGCAATGTTAAGATCAGGGCTCTGTGGATACTGTACCATCTGTTGTAGGACTCAATGTCATTACAAAATTATCTGGATAATTACAATATTTGCAAAAGAAATGTAGACAATGAAAAGAAATGTAGCTGAAATTGATATTTCCTACTGCATGCTGAAGCAGAATATATAAATATCCATCTAAAGACAAATGTTTTTGTGTAAGATTTAATACACAGTATAATGTGAAGAAAATGTCATACTTGATAGGTATTTACTTTGGTCATAATTTTAGAGAATATATTTTTTGATATCTCTTTTTGATCATAGCCGCTATCAGTTTTACGTGCAGAGAGTGTTTGTAATTTATGATCTCAGACAGTTGCTTTTAGACTTTGACCAGAAGTCCCAGTCCTTCCACCCACCACTGAGATCATAAATGCTATAATATCTCTTTTATGACAGAAAGGCTGAGAATGAGATCATGAGGTACTGCTAAAGATAGGACAGAACTCATACCCTAATGATTCAGCAACAGACAATTTGTGGGTGAAAACCCAATGATTTATACAAGTAACATTTTATGCTATGTGTAATCATGTTATAGCAAACTTGACCCCTTAAAAAATGGCTTGACAAGAACACCTTTTATGTTGATGCAATAAAAATAGCCATTTCATTTAAAAAATAATTATGTCACAAAACTTGAGTATGGTATTACGGAGAAGGACAGTAAGTCTTTGTAGGCAACCCGGTCTCATCCCAAGACGTCATATAACTGATGTTTTGGGACGTCTTTTGACCATACGTCAATATTCGCCTTTTTAGGGCCCCCTTAAACGTCGGTAGATGAGGTTATGGGATCCTAACTCTACCCCAGACCTAAACCTAACCCTAAACCTAACCCGTCACCTAACTGACGTTAAAGGTAAAGCGTCAGTTGTATGACGGCCCGGGATCGCCATCTACCGATGTTTAAGGGGGCCCTAAAAAGGCGGATATTGACGTATGGTCAAAAGACGTCCCAAGACGACTTTATATGACTTTTTGGGATGAGACTGAATTAGTGTAGGGCAGTCATCAATATTTGATATCAGATTTTCTGAAAGACAAATTGACCAGTCTGCTAAAACATTTCAGTTAACACACTGTAGTGATAACTATGTTATCAAAATCTAGAACACAAAGAATATAAACAAATGAGGTATAAAAAAGGAAGCATTTTAGCTTTTAAGCTTTAGATTCAATAAAATATGTTAAAATTGCCTATAATAATGTTGTATTAAGAGATAGGTGACTCTCCATCAAACCTGATCATATGAGGAAAAAAAAATATTTGGTGAATTTGTTGTGAGTTTGTATGAATATGTACAACCCATAAAGGTCCACCCCAACCCTAAGCAAAACTGCCAGACGCAAACATACTGTATAATTATATTAGCGAGATCATATGAATTTACCAGTTCACAAAAACATGAACATGCTATGAATAAAGCTGTTTGAAAAGATGCTTCTTCAATTAGTCTTGATGAAAACACAAAGCGCAGAGAGTCTTTCACCATGATGTCTTTCAGTGGTATTACAATTCATCTGAAAGAGTGAAGCTGGAAGTGTTAATCTGAGACACCCTTTGCTGTGCCAACACCATAACCAAAGTTAATGAGATAAAGCTTGCCCGTATGGTCATTTTTGTGCTTCTAATACACAGGATTACAGGCTCCTACTGTAGTTTCAGAAAGAAGTTGCAGTTTATTTACAAACTGCTGCATTGTTACAGATGAACAATTAATTAACAGTTAATTGTAAAAATGAGAAATGTTTGTGAAATCTGGTCTAGGTCACTGCCATAGATGCTGATGATGCTGAGTTTGGATCAGTGCGATATTCTCTCTATGATGGCTACAGCAGCAAGGATGACCACCCTTTCTTTCACATCAACTCTGTTACTGGGGAAATCTGTGTGTCTCAAGATATTGATCATGAAGCTCACCTTGTGACTTTTGACTTGTTGATTAAAGCTGAAGATCAAGTGAGTTCAAATATGTTAATCCTGATTTTGTGTTATTTTATTTAAGAAGGTATTATTAATTATGTTTTTTTATTATTATTTATAGGATGGGCTCAGTTCGCAGACATTTGTTCACATTGATGTGGAGGATGTGAATGATAATGCTCCTGTTTTTAGTCCTGAGAATTATGTCACGAGTGTGAGCATCCATACTCAACCTGGCACTGAGCTCTTCAACATTTTTGCTTCTGACCGAGATTCTGGGAACAATGGAAAAATCACCTATGAGCTTCTGCCTGGAGATTCTACGTCTTTATTCACTGTGGACCAGTCAACAGGTAACATGCCCCAAATTAATATGTGTTTATCTATGACTGAAATCTGTGTTGCTTGCCACATTGTAGTTGTCTTATATAGTACACTAAACTACAATGTTCACCTAAGAGAGTAATAAAATACAAAGCCAAAAAGGATTAAAGGTGCAATACCTAAGATTTTTGCATTAAAATATACCAAAATCACAAGGCCAGTGTTATATATTTAGTTAAGATGATAACTTACAATATTCCAAACGTTTCAATCAATGTTTAAATCGCGAGAAAATTGAGATTTTAACCAAGGAAACGGGGCGTGAGAGCAGGGGTGAGCTGGGAGTCGCGAGTCAATCGCGTCATATCCGCTTACCTCGGTTTCCGCTCGTACTACGTGTAGTCCTGGACAAAAGCGGTAGTTGTATTTGTGCGTTAGCGTCTATCAAGCAACAAACGTCAGCTTGTTTCGCGCATTTGTTATGGAATGGAGCACAATTATTCTTTTCATTTATTCTCGGAATGTGAACTGTTGGCTGTAAAGGGGGTCACACACCGGACGAGAAGCGTCGCGCCACGTTTAGGACAACTCCACAGTAACGTTATCGAACACCAGACGCGCACTTTCTCATCAGTGTATGGCCAGCAATATTGTTATGTTTAATGACATGAAATGAAGATAATGTCTGTTCTATGTTATGATTGTACTGTACAATTAAATACAATCGTTGCTAAGTCTGCATTCTGAAAACTTTACCTTAGATCATCCGTTCACTGAATGAATTGAGAATCTCACCTGAAAAATCTAATAACATCAGCAATTGTCATTCAAGCAGCTGATTTCTGTAAATGAATGCAAAACTATGCATATTGAAGCATAGGGCGAAGTCAGGATCCATTAGCAACGTTTTGAGACAAAAATAATTAAAATTTTATATAAAACTGTGTAAATGGCGCTCTGTGGCGCAGCAGAATTTTGAACACGGTCCTGAGGTGTTGCTGGGCGCCGCGGACAGACGCCGAATGGCGCCGCCGGTATGTTTACACTTATAGATAATAATGTGTTCGAATTTTAAATATGTGGCGCGACAGGGCGCTGAGCTTCTCGTCCGGTGTGCGACCCCCTTAACGTTAATTTTGTGAAACTGTAGCTGTGGTTGAATACTTACACAACATGAAAAGATGTGTCAAATGTACATGATTTTTTATTTTTATAAAGTTACCAAAAAGGAGGACCAGCCACGTCAACTCCTTGCAAGAGACCTGCCCCTTCAAACCCTCTCCACCATAGCTTCGTCCAGTGACTCGTACAGTAACATCTGTGATAACTAATTTACTTAAACCTGACTTCTCTTGCGGTTACTTCAGTTTACGGAAAAACAAGCATGTAAACGCAACATTTATAGAAATCTAACTTTACCTCATCCATGACAACTAATTTTCGATTCCTGTCTGACTGATTTATCCACGGTGGAGTTGAAAACAACAGTTCCCATCATTCCGCGTTTCTCCACGTCGTCATCAAGCAAAGCCGTTGTTGTCGTTTTGAATGTAGTGCCCTCTAGCGGCATCTAAATCTTGGGTATTGTAGCTTTAAAATGATGAAAAAGTTTGTGTTGTCACTGTCACACAAGCCAAACATGAGCGATTTCATAGTCCATAGGACAACAAAGATAACTCAAATATTCTGTTTAGACATTATAGTGCATGCTTATCTCGACAGTCTGACCGAGAGCCTTCCATGGCAGATATAGTAATTCCTTTTGTCGCGTCCCAGTTGGAAGCCTGTGGATTTACACAGCAGCTTCCTAAATCCTTGCTTGGACATGGGTGCAAATGGAAAGCTATGTGAAGTGTTGAAGTGGACTGTCATACAATGAATGCCTACAGAAATCTGTGAGGCTTTATATGATGACTGATGTACTCAGTTATCTTATTAAAAAATGTTGCAGTTGTGACTTAGTAAAAACACAACATTTATTGGTGAAAAATTTTTTTTGCAAAGTGTTTCATTTTTAATCTGGCAAAAATATAATACAAATATACCGTGATATTCTGAGTAATTAAGTATAGTACAGTGAGACTGATATAGATATATAAACATTTACTTTTCCTTAAGTTATTTTAAGCATAACAATCAAAATAAGACATGTTAAATAAAAATCACAAGTCTAAATTTATTTGGTGAATATTGATAATTCTGCTTATTAAAGTTTAGCCAACATTTGTATGGCATCTATTACTATTACTGTCCTTGGCTTTTCGCACACATAAATAGCTACTGTTGAGCTGTGTTTGACGTGACGCATTACAGTAATGAGATTACACTGTAATGAAATAGGGGGTCTGCTCTTTCCCATTACAATCACAGTTCTGCCGTTAATGATGTTACATAGATGATTTTCTCTTTTTTTCCTTTAGCAGATAGCAGTTAAGATAATGCAACAGATGACACAGATGAAACATTATTTCTGTCCTAAGTGGGCTTACTCTTAAGTAGTGCTCTGAAGTCAATAATCCTTCTTTTACATCGCCTGCATGCTCTCACTCGCTTAGGGAAATCCATTCCTGCTGGACAAATGTTTTCATCATTGGTTTAGAGCTTTTTGACATGATATATATATATATATATATATACAGTATATATATATATATATATATATATATATATTGTAACACTTTACAATAAGGTTCATTAGTTAACATTAGTTAATTACTTTAGTTAACATGAAATAACAATGAACAATACTTCTTCAGCATTTATTAATCTTAGTTAATATTTAAGGGGTGGTTTACTGCTTTTTTCTTTGCATGATTGTGTTGGGGTGCAATATTACATGTATTCGTGTTTTTTCTTTTTTAAAAAAAGTCTTATTTTTCATAAATTTCAACTTTATTGTAAGCCACTTGTGCATGTGTGCTCCTGTCAAATGTACATAATGGTGTCGATACTACAGTATCAGTATGAGCTAGAATCAGACCCAGAAAGCGGCGATGAAGAGAGTCAAGCAGAACCTCCCCAAACACGGCTCTTACAAAACATTTCTGAATGCTAATTTGCCTATATTTTTTAGCTTTATACACGTTTGTTTTACACAATTGCATCGAACTGACTGGCTACCATACAAACAGTGTTGGCATTGGTTTACGTTCTCGAAAAAGTAACGTCATAAAGTGTATACTGTACATGAAAATTACATTTACAAAATTAGTACATATGAAGAGTTCAGATGCAAAAGCCTCTAAATGCCATTTGAAATTTTCTTCTTTAATGATGATTTTTATCAAACTTGTATATTTAAGTTCAGTAATTTCACTTAAATAACAATTAATAGGTAATTATCATTGCCATTTAAGTGAAATCACTGAACTTAAATATACAAGTTTGATAAAAAATCATCCTTAAAGAAGAAAATTTCAAATGGCATTTAGAGGCTTTTTCATCTGAACTCTTCATATACAAATTCAGGTCCAAAATGTTTTTACGCATTTGTCGTAGACACAAAATAGCATGTCCAAGTGGCTATAAAGCCAGCACTGGCATGATAAAACTAAAACATTACGTCTGATATTATACATGCAAATACATTTAAAATTATTTAGCCTACTTACAGGTTGTGGCCCAACAACTGCTGCTTTTGGTTTTAAAGTTGGAACTGCTTTGTGTTTTAGTAACAGTTTTTTGTTGAATCCGGCATTGAATTCGTGGAGACTCTTGAAGCTGTCTTTCGTAAAATGTGTAGCACAGAGAGCTAAATTACGATTGTAATTTTCAGGAACATAATCAAACATAAATTGTGTCCATTGTTGACAAACTACAACGTCCGTGTGAAGCCTGAACACAGAAGACCTGCAGCTGGGTGAAAATAACCAACTTTCGATGAGTCGCAGAAATATTCTGAAAATATATAAAAAAAATATAAGTTTTTTGCATATTCTGAAGGGAGGGTTGATGCAAATGTATGGGTTAGTTACGTATAAAACCTGCTGTAGTCCCATTCGAGTTGTTTTTGTAGGCATTACACTTCCTGATTTTTAAAAGACGATATCTCTGCTTAAACTGAAATTCACTTTAAAAAAAAAAAACTTTGCAGATACTATTCATGCACCAACAGCAACATTACACACTATTGAAATGAAAAAAGTGAAATCGCCATCAACCACCCCTTTAACTTCAACATTTACTATTTAGGGTATAAGAATGCCTTGACCATCCCGGGTGCAAATTCAAGGCAGGATGGAGAAAACGAGAGGGCCTGAAGGTCTCTGACTCTTTTGAGGAATGAAATAGCTAAAAGAAAGATAGTCTTGGTTAATTCTGATGGTTAGGATTAACTTGCTAGCAACAGTTTAGTGATTATACAACATATCTGTATTTTCTTATAACAGAAAATATTTAATAAAACTATTCTGATCAAATCACTTAATCTTTATGTAGAAACCGATATCAATAATCAGCCTGTCTATCTCAACCGTGGTGACATTAATAGTCCTTCTTGCCACCAATCACAACTCATTAATGTCTCCCATCATGCATTGCGGTTTGAATAAATTATGATCTGAATTGTCTATGTAATTTACTTTTCCTAATTGAATATTCTACTAGTCACCGTTGTTGAGAAGCATTGACTGAATCTTGAAGTCTGTGTTTGCCTTAAAGAAAAAAGAAATTGTAAAAAAAAAAACATCTTTTGAGAACATTGTGGCTATTTATGCAGAATTTCAGTTATGCAGTAACCAACAGAATAAATTACAGACATACATTTCAAATGATGAATGTCATTATATGTCCAACATCATTTTATAATTGTTTATCTTTGTTCATCTGGCAGGTATTACTCAAATGCAACAGTAAATTAAAATATAAAGTTGATAATGTAAGGGTGAAGAGCCCAACTAAAGCAAACACTGATCTCCATAACGGTGGCTTACAATTTTAGATTTTTTTTCCTTGTGATTCTGCTTTAGGTGTCTTAAGCTCATTATTTATTCATGCAGCAATGCATGATGGGAGCCATGAATGAATTTTGATTGGTGGCACCCAGAATTTTTTTTTTGTTTATTGATTTGATCATTTGAATTTCATTGAAAAGGCTAAAATTGTATGTTCTGCAAGAGCAGTGCTGGTATGATCCATAAGGTAAATTTAACAGTGGTTCATGTAGTTTGACTACAAACCGGAAGTTTGGTGATTCAATCCCCAGTTCCACCTTTTCTACGTGATCACCTGGCTGTTATAACTCATGTACAGCCAAACATAATCTTAAGTTAAAAATATAGGGGTCAAGAGCCCAACTAAAGCAGACACTGATCTCCATAACGGTGACTTACAATTTGTGATTTTCTCCTTCAGTGATTCTGCTTGTGATCATCAGGTGTCTTCAATAATGCTCAATCCTCACTCAGTTATTCACTTAATTGTCTCATTAACTTTAACACTCAGCTCAGAGTTTGATTGGATGGCTTAAAATGACTTCCATGATGTTGAAGTTACATGAACAAATTATGTTTGTTTAACAAAACAAAGTTATGTGGAACCGGTGGAACCTGTTTACATGAAAAAGTTAAGTAAAGCCAACACATCATTTTTTTGAGTGTAGTGCCGGTTGCATCTGATATGCTTTTATTCTTTCCTGGTCATGACTTCACTCGTCTGTGCTGCTCGTTCTTTCCATTAGACGAGTTGACATTCGTGCTTCAGACATAATCACACGGAGACGTTCCCAAGGCGTCGTTGACGCAGCAGAAGTTCTTTCGAAAGGGAACTAATGAACCTTATTGTAAAGTGTTACCAATATATATCTATGTACCTCACTACTTAATTTAAAGACAGTAAATGTCGCGTGCCTACCTTTCTGCGCACTAGGAATTATATTTTCTCAGACAGAGCATACAGTGAATATGACATTCACTGGCAGGCATTAAATGTAAGACTTAAAGAATTAAATCAAGTGTGTTTGCTGAATGCAGATTCACTGTGACAAAAGTGTTTTACTGTTTGCCTTTGTTTCGATTATTAAACAAAACTGTTGAACAGTAAAGCATGTAGTGCTATATGAACTTCAAAAACAAACAGCTAAATAAAATGCTCACAAATTAATCTCTCTTGCTCTTGCTTGCGTGCATATGATTGCCCTTCTGTGTGCCAGTGGGGTTATTCATGCCTAAGGTTACCCTGGTTTAAATCAACAGATGCTAAGGATTTTAAGTTAGATCAAGGTGAATCCAATAGCAGGACCCCAACCATCTGTCTGTCAAAAGTTGAACTAGCCATGGACATATCCACCATATCACTATCAGTGATGGATGGATTTAAAGTTTGTTTAGTTTATTAAAAGAAGAGAGACTAAGATATGTTACAATTAAATCATCATGACCTTGTTCAACGACATTCTTAATGATCTTTCATTCAAAGAATTTACTTTGATTAGATACTAACCTTAACATAGTTTGTCATAGAATTAATCACTAAAGATTTTTCAGTAACACTTTAAAATATTGTTCCTTCATTAATTAATAACTACACAGGACCAAATGAGTAATGCACTATTAATATTCTAGTAACTACTATTAACTAGCAATAAATTCTGATTAACGAATTAGTAAGTAATAGGGCTCAGTCAAATTCACTATTAGCTAATCAGTTACTACTATTTCTCATACAAGACTACTAAGAACTATATATACAGGTTCATACTATTAATAATGCATAATGTATAATATAAGGTAATGGTAACCCATTAGTAATGACTGAAGTATTACTACATCCTTCTAAACTAAAGGAACTACTAATTTTGGATCAGTATTCTAAAGTTAAAGGGTTGATAACTACCTAATATTGACTGAAGTCATTGTAAGCTTTTTGCAAGATTTTGGATAGTAATGACCCAAGTGTTACTACATCTTTCTAAGGGAACTACTAATTATTTGGATCAGTAGGCCTATTCTAAAGTGAAGATCATGGGAACCCACTAGTAATGACTAAAGTGTTACCAAATTGATCGGAAGGAATTACTATTCAAATTCTTACAAAAATCTCAAAACGTTACAATGACTTAAGTCAATATTAGGTAGTTATCATGCTTTTCCCTTTAGAATTTCCAAATAATTAGTACAAGTAGTTCCTTTAGAAGGATGTAGTAATACTTGATGCATTACTAGTGGGTTACCATTACCTTTTATTATAAATTATGCATTATTCATGTTAATTTTGAACCTGTTTATACCTGTTCTCTGGGAGGTATGAAAAAGTAGTATGTATAAAATACTAAATAGTGAACTACCACATATAACTGAGCGCTATTACACAGTAAATTCCCCGGTGTTAAATTTAACACCGCTCGGTGTTTATATGGGAACCACCAGCAGGGTGTTAAAAGTAACACTGATACAGTGTTAAAGTTAATGAGATAATTAAGTGAATAATTGAGAGTGATGATTGAGCATTATTGAAGACACCTGATGTTAACAAGCAGAATCACTGAAGGACAAAATCACAAATTGTAAGCCACCGTTATGGAGATCAGTGTTTGCTTTAGTTGGGCTCTTGACACTTTTACTTTCACTTTAACTTTGTTTGTCTGCTTTTATTAATTTATAACAGTCAAATGAACAAAGAAAACTGTGATCTGATATTGTTGGTTATGTTTTGACATAATCATGCTGTGATCTGAAAAATCTAACTTTTCAGGTGAATTGGCTTAACTTGTTAGTAACAGTTTAGTGATTGTGCAGCATATCCGTATTTTTCTTTTATCCTAAAATATTTAATAACAACTATTCTGATCAAATCACTTTCATCTTTATTTAGAAACACAGACATAAATAGTCAGCCTGTGTATCTCAACTATGGTGACATTAATAATCCTTGTTTCCACCAATCACAACTCATTAATGGCTCCCATCATGCATTGCGGTATGAATAAATTATGATCTGAATTGTCTATGTAATTTACTTTTCCTAATTGAATATTCTGCTCGTCACCATTGTTGAGAAGCATTGACTGAATTTTGAGGTTTATGTGTGCCTTGCCTATAAGAAGTTTTTTTTTTTTTAACAACTTGTAGAAATCCATTATATTATATCTGACATTCTGGATATTTATGTAGAATCTCAGTTATGTTGTGACCTACAAAATTAACCACGAACATATATTTCAAATGAATGTCATAATATGACCAACACCATCATATAAATTGTCTCTTTGTTCATCTGGCAGGTATAACTCAGATGCAACAGCCAATTAAAATGTAAGGTTATAATAAAAGGGTCAAGAGCCCAACTAAAACAAACACTCACCTCCATAACGGTGACCTGAAAGTTAGGTTTTCTCCTTGTAATTCTGCTTTAGGTGTCTTCAATAATGCTCAATCATCACTCAATTAATCACTTAATTATCTCATTAACTCTAACACTGCCTCAGTGTTACTTTTAACACCCTGCTGGTGGTTCCCATATAAACACCGAGCGGTGTTAATTTAACACCAGGGAATTTACTGTGTACTTACTAATGTGTTAATCAGAGTTTTTAGTTAGTTAATAGTAGTTACTAGAATGTTATTCATTTGTTCCTGTGTAGTTATTCATTAATGTAGGAATAGTCTCTCTATGTAGTTCTATAGTGTTACTGGTTTTTCATTTGAGGTCCCTTAAATTTAAGTCTGTAATCTACGTATAGGCAAATATAAATGTTCTTTTCACTGCAATAATAAGACCTTATGAATGCGTCCTCTAAGATGTTAATGTAGGTTTTGTGTGCACTTCAGGTACTGTTTACCTGAGTTCTTCACTTTCCCAGCTGCGCAGTAGCAGCGTGAAGCTGTCTGTCTCTGCTCAGGATGGAGGAGGTATGTTTGCCGCTCATCCTGCTAACATCACCGTGAACATCTTACAGAGTGACCAGCCCCCTGCCCTTTTCCAGAAAGCCCACTACACCTTCTCCATCCCTGAGGATGCACCCATGGGCTCCACCGTTGGTTTGGTTCAGGCTGTTACCCCTGCCAGTGAGTTTTCTGTGTTTTTTCTCTGAAATGTTGGGGCTGTCGCAATGTTCTCTGTTCTCTGTTAACTAATGCTGTAAACAGATCTTGTTTATTGTTAGTTTTGTAAAAAAAAAATAATAATAATAATAATTTAACTAATGTTTGTAATTTAACCTATTAATGTTAAGAAATGTATACTGATACAAGATAACATTAAAAAATGATTAACTAATGCTGTATACAGGCCTTGTTAATTGTTAATGTTAACATTAACAAATACTTTAATGTAACGAGTTAGTAAGCAACACACACGAACAAGGAACACTACGGTATTTAATAATAAATGCATGAGATCTTTTGATGAACACAGGAGTAAACAACACATTACTCATAGACAATAACTGACAATTGTTTAAACAGAACTGAGGGTGTAATAACACAGGGAACGTAATCAAGGATAAAATAGAACAGGTACAGAGCTAATTAACAACCAAGGTCTAACTAGGAACTCAGGCAGGTAAAACAGGAACAGAACACAGAGAAACCAAAACCAAAACTGGTTACACGTGACAATTAAATTCCCGCTGGTCAATAATTGTATGCCTTATAACGCATCTTTGATCACCAAAATGATGTCTTTTTTTCCTGTAAAAAAATGTCTTCATGCCTTAAAATAGCGTGAATGTAATTCTACACCCTTGCTTCATTTAGAATACGCAGAACCATGAATAGGCAAATTAGCCCCGCCTCCACTCAATCACACAAGCCTAGAATACCTGATCCACTCTGTCAACTGTAGTAATTAACACTGCACAATGGCAAGTGGAAATACCAACCCGATCTCACGACCAAGTCGTATGAATTCGACGAATGATTAAAAAGTGGCTAATTCGTAACAATTCATACGACCTCACTCGTACGAATTAATGCGATTTTGCTAAATCGTACATATTTTACGAATTGGCCAATTCGTATGAATTCGTACGAATGACCTACCCCTTACCCCGCCCCTAAACCTAACCATCACGTGGGTTTAGACAAATCGTACGAATTAGTATGAGTGAGGTCGTACGAATTAGTACGAATTAGCCACTTTTTAATCATGCGTCGAGTTCGTATACGAATTGGTCGTGAGATAGTGTTGGAAACACTGGTTTAATTCAGCCATATATGTTTGAATCAGAAACTGATTCAGAAGAAGTGGAAGAATGAATTATACAGGCACGTATACAAGTTGATGTATCAAAATGGTATTGTCAGTGGACAAAAGCTAATAATTCATAATAACATTGTAATATACATCACATAATTCATCACATACTGTATATTGCTAAATATGAAATCCAGTTTGATGTCAACTAAGTCAAGTCAAGTCACATTTATTTATATAGCGGTTTTTACAATACAGATTGTTTCAGGAAAACAGGAAAATAATTCAAAAAAAGTTTGTTCCCAGAAGAAAATCACAGTCCAGCTTAAGTAAGTTCAGTGATGTTTCATTTTTTGTTTTTAAAAAAGTTATTAATTTAGTTAATTTGTACATATTTACACACAGTATATAGCCACTCTGGAGAAAACCCTGATGTCATTGTGTTGCAGGAGTAAATCCTGATGTCAATGTCCCCAACTAAGCAAGCCAAGCCAATGGCAATGGCTATGTCGAGGTCTCAAAACACGTCTACCCTTTTGTTCACCTTTCCTTTCCACTAGTATTCCAGACTCTGTTACCCCAATGACTAATCCAGCTTGCGGGTGAGGGATTAGCTGATCAGTGGGTTAAATATCACTCTAGTTGACAGGGTTCTTAGATAAAAAGATTTGCTGTACTTTGTTTCTTTTGGCTCTCTTAGTCTACAATCAAATGTTTTTAGCAAATTTGAAAAGCAAAGTTTAAACCAAAATTTTCCAAACCAAAGAAAAGATAGAACCACTCAATATGGTCAAACGCCTTCTCCACATCCAAAGATAGCACTAGCCCATCTTTTCCCTTTAAATGCATAAATAGCATTTAAAAGGCGTCTAATATTATCAGGTGAATTCCTAACCTGGTATTAATCCTGTTTGGTTAATCCCAATCATTGTTGGCAGAATTTTTCAAGGTGCATTATTGCTAAAATTTTAGAACGCGATGATCCAGTCCACATTCATTAATGCAATTGGCCTGTAACAAGAACATAAATTGGGACTTTTTCCTTTCTTTAATATAAGAGAGATATTAGCTATTCTATGGGTCTTTGGTAATTATATAACCTCAAACGTATAATTAAACATTAAGCAATGGCTCTACAACCAACTCCTTAAAGAAATTCTCTGCAAAACCCATCTGGCCCAGGTGATTTATCATTCTTTAGAGCTTTAATAGAATTAATAACCTCTTGTGTAGTAATAGGGCCAATCAGCTGTTATTTGGTTTTGCAGTAAGAGTCTACCAGTTTGAATCATAAAATGAAGCATAATGAGTATTGAATCACTCATTTTAAACACTGCATTCTTGATTTATTAAAGTGATTTGTGATTAGGTTTTGGTTAACACACATGCACACACAAACATTTAGCCTTCCACTGTAATAGTTGAACAGTAGACAGTCAATTGAGGTTAACGTTTAGATTAGCTGATTAACCCTCTCTTCAAGTTAAATTAAGGGCCAGAATTTCTGAGTTTCTGGGTTGGAGAGGGGGGCAGATCTCTTAATCTCTGGGGGCTTTGTTTAGTCCAGCTGTATCAAGGTCTCAACTGCCAAACAATAGGATAACTGCAATACTATGTTCAATACGGCAGGGTTGAGTACGTCAGTATTTTCTAAATTTATAATCATTGTATTATCACACAGTTTGTGTGAGTTTGATAAAGTTGTATACGACAATAAAAAGGTTAAACAATGGAAGAATTATTGAATGATGGCAAATTAACAAAAATCGGGAATGTCAATGATGATGAGGGGGGAAGAAGGGGACCCTATATAGCCAAACATGAACAAGATGATGAAGAGGAAAGTCTCATTAATTAATCCACAGTCACAAACATGTAACGCTACTAACACACACATAACGTTGATGATACCCGACAATGAACACTAACAGAATTGAACTTAAAGCTGCTGTCCATAACTTTTTTTAAGTTAAAAATAATCCAAAATAATTATAAAAAAAAAAAAAAACATATTCTGCCAGTGGTCAAAACTATCTGCTTGCCATAGCTAGATTCAAAACGGTTAGCTTGTAATAATGATTTTAATTTCAGTGGTACTGGTGGGTTTCCGCGGGAAATTCGAGCATGTCTTTGCATCATTACGTCACACCCGTAAACACAAAGGCTAGCCGGCTATACTGCGCATGAGGAGATGTAAAGATGTATAGGCTTTTCTCGCAGGCTCGCAGCACTTCACATAATTAAACTTATGGCAAGATCCAAACAACAATCATCAGTGTCAACTGGAGATTCAGCAGTTATAAAACCCAAAAGACTTCGTACTTCGGTTTTAAGGTGTCTAGAGAAAGAGAAAGAAACCGTCTCATGCGAACACAAGGATTTAAACATCGGCGGGGCTTTTGAAAAGTGCGTTAACTCCGTGTTTTGAAGGGGTTCAAAACGGAAGAAGAGACTGCTTTTTTCTGCTGAACAAGTAAGACATTTCAACAATTCAATCGTGTAACAGTACGTTTTCTTAATTCACACAGTTATGGAGTTTCGTTTGTTTTGCCTTTCTCGTTTTTCTATTATGGAGAATATGAATTCTGAACTAAACAGGTAACCATAAAACACATTAAATTTAACATTAGTCACGCAATGCTGATGTTGGTAACATGAACAATTTGAGAACAAAGTATGCTATAATTTGCACGTTTGCTGTAAATCGCATTGATTAAATCTAACGACGCTTATCATGTCGAATGCTTTTCCCCCTTAGTGGATCAGAACGAAATGGATGTTACTTACTTGTTCAGAAGACATTTTCCGGTGAATATTCTTATGTTGATCAAACTTTCAAAAAATAAATCTGTGATTCTGTATGACAGTATCCACACAGCGCGGTGATTGACAGCAGCACTCGCCTCAAAACACTGTGTTCTTCCGCGCTGTTTCATGGCAATTTACAACCCACGTAAAGATGATAATTCCGCGAAAAACTCCAATTGCAGATTTCGAACAGAGATGGCGACAAAGAGGAAAAGCTACGGACTGCAGCTTTAAAGGGTTAGTTCACCCAAAAATGAAAATTAAGTCATTAATTACTCACCCCCATGCTGTACCAACCCCGTAAGACCTTCGTTCGTCTTCGGAACACAAATGAAGATATTTTTGATTAAATTTGAGAGCTGTATAACTACCACATTGGCTCCTAAGGGACTGCCTCTTGACGGCCCAGAAAGTCAATGAAGAAAATGTTTAAATATCCCAAGTGACTACCGTGGCTCAACTATATGTTTATCAAGCGACGCGAATACTTTTTGTGCGGAAAAACAAACAAAAATAACGAGTTTATTCGACTATTTCTTTTCTTTCTTGTAGGCCAGAACGAGACTTCCTTAGATTTCCACGACGCATGCGCGAGAATTGCGATCTGCTCACAACAGCCTTACACTACTTCAGATCGCAATTCTCGCGCATGCGTCGTGGAAATCTAAGGAAGTCTCGTTCTGGCCTACAAGGAAGAAAAGAAATAGTCGAATAAACTCGTTATTTTTGTTTGTTTTTTCGCACAAAAAGTATTCGCGTCGCTTGATAAACATATAGTTGAGCCACGGTAGTCACTTGGGATATTTAAACGTTTTCTTCATTGACTTTCTGGGCCGTCAAGAGGCAGTCCTTTAGGAGCCAATGTGGTAGTTATACAGCTCTCAAATTTAATCAAAAATATCTTCATTTGTGTTCCGAAGACGAACGAAGGTCTTACGGGGTTGGTACAGCATGGGGGTGAGTAATTAATGACTTAATTTTCATTTTTGGGTGAACTAACCCTTTAAGTACACGTGATAACGAGGCAATGCATGTATCATTCCTATTTTGCACCCACGCAAAGCTTAACTTGCGCTCCCTGGGCTGTGTTTCGGTGTAAACTGGTGCTATTTTATCCCTGGTGCTATTTTGCAATTCCAAAAAACTATTGCGCCAATGACCAGAAAAAAAAAAAAAAAAAGTAGTCTAAAGTCAGTGGGTCCATGACGATGGGAAAAATAGGCATAAAGCTTACACATTTACCCAAATTATTATATGCACGTTTAACCGAAGCTAATTTGGGTGGGTTTGTCCCATTGTCGCTTCTCTTTTTTTACGGCCCTGATGAGAACATCAATCTCCGTGGCTGTGAACCGATTGTGAAGCGTGTCTGGTAAATGCGCCTCATTCATCATGCTCTTAAAGGGAATGTGATATGACATTCTTACTGGTTTGTTTCCGTTACGCCCAAACCACACCTATGAATAATGAAGCTACTTCAGACCAACCCCTTTTAGATTTGCGCCAGGCGCAAGAGGCATTTATCCCGCCGGGAAAATAGTAAAGCGCCCACAAAGTTACTTTGGTCTTCGCGCTTGATACTTGCATTTCAGATCGTTAAAATAGGGCCCAATGAGTGCACAGCTGACCATAATGAGTGAAAAAGACAACAAACGACTCAGGCAGAAAGTGGGGAAACACAAAAAGTCCAAACTAACAGAACCGTGACACACACTAGTTTACTGCTCCTTTTTTTACTGCTCCTTTTTTGGCTGTAATATGTGAATTCATATTATAAAGTTGTCTTGTGCCACTGTAAGAAGTGTAATTGTTTACCACTGAATTTGTTTGAAAGTCACGATAATGGTGATTAGTGTTTCAGCTTCGGATCTCGGACCTTATAAATTCATATTTAAACTTCTGATCTTGCCAAGTCAGAACTGTGACAAATCAAATGAAAACAACACAAACTGCTACAAAAAGTAGGTTTTGCAGCACAGATAAAACCAACAAGAAATATATATATATATATATGAAGAGTTCAGATGCAAAGGCCTCTAAGTGTCATTTGAAATTTTCTCTTAGAATGATCATTTTTATCAAGCTTGTATATTTAAGTTCAGTAATTTCACTTAAATGACAATTAATAGGTAATCTTCATTGCAATTTAAGTGAAATTACTGAACTTAAATATACAAGCTTGATAAAAAATGATCATTCTAGAAGAAAATTTCAAATGGCACTTAGAGGCTTTTGCATCTGAACTCTTCATATATATATATATATATATATATATATATATATATATATATATATATATAAATCTGTACAGCATAATATTTGTATGCTGTATTGAATGCTTTGGAATGGCATGTGAGAGAGTATATATTGCCAGAATTTTCCTTTTTGGGTCAACTATGCCTTTAATTGTAAAAACTGAATATTATACTGATGATATTTTGCTGATTTTTGTCTTTTTTAATTGCAGATTCAGTGGAGGTAGTCTCATACGTCATATCCTCAGGTGATCTGGACGGCCTTTTTTCAGTGGATGCCCAGACGGGCATCATCACCACTGCCCGACCCCTGGACCACGAGTCCCTCTCTTATGTCATTTTGACCATACAATTCCACACAGGAACCCATCCTATTTACAGCAGTGCTCAGGTCAATGTTACCATTATTGATGTCAATGACAACCCTCCTGTGTTCCATAAAACCACAGAACACATCACCATATCCCATAACACCCCTCCAGGAACAGCACTCTTCATTGCACATGCCCATGACAGTGACAGTGGCCTTAATGGCAGAATTCGCTATATGTTACGTCCTGAGAGCCCATTGTTTATTATTCATCCACATCTTGGGACTCTTATGCTGAACGGTGACCTTTCAAGAGAATCCAGCCAAAGGTATAAGCTCAGTGTTATAGCTGAGGATGAGGGTCATCCCTCACTGAACTCTACATTAGAGCTTGTGATAGAGATAGATTCATTAGGCTCTGTACAAGACACACTAGCCTTTGAAACTTTGGTTTACCAGGTGGAAATCGGAGAAAGTGCTCCAAAAGACACCAGAATGATTCAGGTACGTGCTCATGGAACCAGATCCCAGCATGAAGGGACTCCTGGAACAGAGCCCCCTGTCATCGCTTACTCTCTTAAAACCCTCTCTGGAGTCCTACCTTTCAAGATCCACCCAGAGACTGGTTGGATGTTTGTATCTCAAAGTCTGGACTACGAAACTGAACCCGTTTATAGATTTTGTGTGTGTGCAAAGGCACATAATAGCAAAACAGAGGCCACAGCAACGGTGGTCGTCATGGTTCAGGATGAGAATGACAACAAGCCAGTGTTCAGTAGGGATGTGTACTTCTTCAGTGTGCAGGAGGGACCGTCTCCTCATGGCTTGATTGGAACAGTAAAAGCTACAGACAGAGATTCGCTTAACAATGGAGTGTTATCCTACATCCTGCTGTCTGATGGAAAATACTTTCACATCAACACCAGAACAGGTCAGAATTACTGTCGAATTAGTGCTTTATTTCATTCAAACTGCTTTGTCAAAATAGCATTCCAGAAATTCATAAAGCAAACAAAATTGGTTGAGGCATTGAGTTCTGCTGATATTTTGTACACAGAATTAGCCAAAGCTTGAAAAGATGAAAATTGTTCCCTTTATTTTTTTCATTATTTTGTATTTTGAATAAAATTAAAACTTAAGCAGACTGAAATAAAAATAAAAATAAGTAATCATATAAAATAAAATAAAATTGTATCTATTTATTTATTTATTTATTTATTTGTCTAAATTCTGAGAGAAAATTGTTTCCTTTAAATCTTAAACCTTTTTTTCAGGATATCATTCTCACTCTGTCTTCTTTCTCTTTCTCTGGCTGTAGGAGAGATCATAAACCTAGTGGCTTTAGATCGTGAGGAGCAGGCCCAGCACGTTTTAAGGGTGATGGTCATAGATCAGGGTCAACCTCGTCTCAACACCACCACTATCGTCCGCATCCTTGTCACAGATGTCAATGATAACCCCCCACAGTTCACACACCTACCTGCGACTAAAGAGCTAAACGTACAGGTCATAATACTTTTTCTAGAAAACAAAATATACAAAATATAATTTTATAATAATAATAATACTACATTTTATAATTTTATAAGTGAAGTTAAATGAACCTCTGGTTTATTATACATTTCATGTACATTGACAATTTATGACAGGGGTTGGCAACCTTTTTGTCATGAAGTGACATTTTTAGGTTGTCTAGTTAATCACGGACCATTATCGCCCCCTCCCCCTTGAATAAATGCGCAGAAACATATTTTAAAAGTTCATGACGGAATAGTTAAAAACTGATGATCAAACATTACTTGATCGATCACAAACGTGCGTATTTGATTAGGAACACAGAAATTGTTCAGAACCTTAAATATAACTGAACCCATTTTCTTTTTTGTTATTTGTCAAAATCCTACAAGGTTGTTTGTTTCCAGGCTTAAATTAGACTTTGAATAACATATTTCCAAAGTGATTCTAAACCCACTATGCCTAAACGGAGTTTGCACATTGCCATTATTGTGATGTGTGTGGAATGTTTAATAGGACTCTATATACTTTGTTGAATGTCTCCCAAATGTATAGCATTAACTGCTTTTTTGCAATACACAGCAGAACAAACTGAATGCTGTCAGTCAAACTTACTTAACTTGTTTGCTACATGTGCTTTTTTGATCTGCATCAAGCTTTTAGATGCTCATGATGCGCAGTCATCTCGCTAATGGTTTGTCAGAGCTGCACGATTTCATTGACTTGTGTAGTTTTATTCTTATACTTTAATAGTATCTCCGTCTCCCAACTTAATAAAATGCCTCTCTTTTTTGCTCATGTGCCAATGTTGGCCTGTGCGCCACAGTTTGCCAACCCCTGATCTATGATGACATGGTATCCTCAAGAAGTAAACTGTTTCAGTGACATTTTCTATGCAATTCTGAACTTACATGAATATCTTAGTGTACATGTACTACCATCAAACAATTGGTTGCAGTAAGATGATTATTTTTATTCTATTCAGCAATGGTGCATTAAATTAATCAAATCAAACTGACAGTAGACATTTTACAGTTGACATTTATAACTTTGGATAGCAGCATCTTGCATATACAGTATGGTATGAATATATTTGGCTTTTTGTGCAGGTGTGGGCAGGCATTCCTGTGAATTCTGTTGTAATCAGTATGTTTGCTAAAGACCTAGATGCTGGAGAGAATGGAACTGTCAAGTTCTCCATGAAAGGTAAACCGATGAGGAGATGACAACTTAATTGTAATTCATGGCTCATTTGTGTTTATATAGGGATATAAATGAATGAAGGAAAACTATATTTGTGATTTAATCTGAGATGTCTTGTTTTCTTCCACATTCTTTTAGATAATCAGCTGGGCCACTTTAGTATTGATAGTCATAATGGTGATGTCAAGGTGACATCACGATTCTCCTCAAACCCACAGATGCGCTACACCTTGAGAGTGATTGCCACGGACAATGGGCTTTTTCCTCTGGAGGAAACCGCAGTTGTTCACATACAAGTTAGTGAAGCTGGTTTAGGCATATAACAACACTGTGTGTGTCAGAGTAGGGCTGAAGATTTACTTAGATTTTTCTATTCTGTGTACAATATTGAGGAAAGATGCCTCTTAAAGTGCAGTCTCGTGTATCGGATACCTGTGAAAATTTGCGAGCTAAATCCATTTATTTAAATGGAAATGGTCCTAATAAGGAATTTAATTTCCAATGCAAACATTTCATGCCAGGTTCAAGTTTGTTGACATGCAAAATTCGCAGTGATGCCAAATAACAAGCCTCTTGGTTCAGCAGAGACCTCTGTGTGGGCGGAGCTTCATAATTTAGCAACAAGCTAAAAAAACACAGTGAACGAGAAGCTTATTCTGGCAGTGTCTCAGCCAGTTTTGCAAACTACACTTCAATAGAATTAAATAAGGCAGCACGATAAATGCTTAATAAATAAAAAATATTCCCACTATTCTACACTCATTAGGCACTTTTTTCTCTTAATTTTCCTTATTAGCGGGATTTCTTTTGTAATTGTATCTGGCTCAATCAGACGAGTGGTCAGAGTTAGTTGCAGATACTAGAATGTTAATATCATGTTACTCATTTATTCATCATTAATGATGGAACAGTCTCTTAAAGTGTTTCTGTAACTTTGCAACCACATGTGGGCTAACTCTCATTAGAGTATTAGTAGAGCTACATAATTCTGGTTAAATTGAGAATCACATTTTGATTTTTAGATCACAATTATTTTTAAAAAATCGGTTTGAATGAATGATTTAATGATATCAGTGTTTATGTCTGCTGATCTAGTAGACTTAATATCTGCTAAAACTTCATTTTGATGGTCTCCTAATAGACATTCTACTGATTATAAGTAACTTTACAAGCACGGCCGTCCTTAGGGAGATGTAACTGGTGCACGCCTTAGGGGGCCCGGTGGCAATCGCAAAAGGAACACGGGGGACCATCATCCCAAACCCCACTCCCGAGGAGGACCCTGCTTCCTCTGACTCGCACTGTCAACAAACAGTCTACTACGGTCTGCTAATACTCCAATAAGAGTTAGTAATATGTAGTTGCAAAGTTACTAGTTAGTAGGAGTGTGCAGTGCACCATGGAAATAAAGTGTTACCAGTAGTATTTATAATATAATTTGTTTGTTTTCTCTTTTGTCTGCTCAAAATTTTGCTAAATAGGATAAATTGGCTGCACCTGACATTTAGGTGCTGTGGCATAGTAGTTGAAGATCTAATTAAATACAGCATTTAACATACATTTTCAGAACATAAATCTAAACATAGGATTAACTCGTGTTAAAAATTCTTGTTTTATTTTGTTGACATTTTAAAGTTAAAAGTTTTACAGAGGAGATTTTTCAACCTAAAAATTTAACTTTTTTACTAAAATGTTTTTTTAGAAAAGATCTGGCGAATTTTAAGAATAGTTACTCAAATTTTGTTTTATTACAGGTTTATGTCTTAGACCAACAAAATGGGAACTCCAAGGATTTACAGAGCCTCAAACACTTTACTGTGCTGGAAGATGCCAGTCTTGGAACCGTCATTGGAACACTTGCGATTTCTAATACAGCAGATACTCAGATACGATATTCTATTGTTGAGGGTGATGGTAGTTTGCAGTTTGGCATCAAAAGTGCAAGTGGCGAGCTCTATGTGGCACAACATCTGGACTATGAAGTCACACAGCGTTACTTCTTGGTTGTACGTGCTGAGGCCGCCCCCGCCTTCAATGTCACTGTATTTGTGGCGATCAGTGTTGTTGATGTCAATGACCACACCCCCTGGTTCCCTGGCAATGGCAACTTTGTTGTGTTTGGCGTTTATGAAGATGTTATCAACGGAACGGCGGTGTATGTCTTTAACGCCCGTGATGGCGATGGAAGTCTGTGTAACAGTGAACTTTATTATACTTTGACCTATGACCCTGACTCTGCCATAGAGGGACTGCCTTTACACATTGACCCTCGCACTGGAGTTGTCACAACAAATGGACAGTTGGACCGTGAGCGCACTGAGAGCATTGTATTCAAAGTGACTTCCAGAGACAATGCAGAAGAGCCCAACAATAGGAAACATACATCAGTCATCGCTCAGCTGATTATTTTGGATATCAATGACAATAGTCCCACATTTGTTTCCATGGAAGTAGCTTATGTCTCAGAGGATGCAGAGGTGGGACTGTTGGTTCATCATGTTATGGCTAAAGATGAAGACGAAGGAAGTAACGGACACATCATATACAGTGTTATTTCAGGCAATGAGAAAGGCTACTTTTACATGGAGCACACAGGTAAATATTTTACCGTTAATTATTTTATGTTTTGCTCATCATTTATTTGACCAAAATAAAAGCAGTAAAATTGTTTAATATCATTAAAATTTGAATGTACTGTATTTAAGAATGTTAGTTATTCCTGTGATGGCAAAGCTGAATTTTCAGCATTATTACTCCAGTCTTCAGTGTCACGTGAGCCTTCAGAAATTACTCTAATATGTGGATTTTGTGCTCAAGAAATAATTGTTACGGTAAGTAGACACAGGAGAGGAAGATGGATGGTGATCTATTGATAACAAAGATGCAGGGATGCGGTGAGCAGGGTAGTGGAGTCCAAAGGCTGATCTTGCTGAGGGAAGGGAGACCCTGGAGACAGGAAGATCGCTGTGTTAACATACGTCTAAATGCTGTAGAGCAGCAATCTTCTGCTTTTATAGAGTTGATCACATTTGCTGATGATCAATTCACATGACTATAACAAAGGTCATACCAGTGTTGTAGTACTCGAGACTCGGACTCGTCTCGGACTCGGTCTCGAGTCCATATTTTAATGGTCTTGGTCTTGTCATGGACTCGTGTCCATTTGGACTCGGAATTGACTCGTACTCGAACATTTTTTTTTTAGGACTCGGAATTATTCCCGAGTCCACTCGAGTTCAATTAAAAATATTTTTTATGATTATTAATGTATGTTAATAAAATATTTCTTTAAATTGATTGACACGCCCAGTGATTGGTGATTTTCTAGTGCGCAACTGCGCATGACAAATTGTAATAAAATTACTTTTAACACCACCTACTATGTGGCCTTTTTACCCTAAACTGATCATATTTTTTAAACTCTAAGTAAATTCAGTAAAAAAAAAAAAAAAAAAAAAAAAAAAAAGGATTTCTCTAAGTAAATAAAAGTAAATTAGGTAATCAACCCTCACTGGTCTCGGTCTCGGCTCGGACTCGACCGTCTCTGGTCTCGGACTCGACTCGGACTCGACTCTCTATGGACTCGGTTTTGACTCGGACTCGATTCTCTATGGACTCGGTGTCGACTCGGACTCGAGTGAGGTGGTCTCGACTACAACACTGGGTCATACACAATGGCAATTCAAAGTGCTTTACATGAAAAGTATTTTTTAAAGAGTTCTCCTATGCGCTGCCTGCCTCTAATGGCTCCCAGAGGCCATCACCCCTAATAGAGTGCATAACCTATGCGCTGTCTTCCTCTGATGGCTTTCAGTGCCGTCCTCTTTACTCCTAAAAGAGTGCTTAAACCTAATATAACTGTTGTAACAAAGATGTACTGTATATTTACAAAAAATATTTATATATATGCAATATTTTTTCTCTCTTACAGGACATCTGTACCTGAATTCATCCCTGGATTATGAATCCCAGCATGTCTACATTCTGACTGTCCAGGCTAAAGACAGCGGTGCTCCCTCTATGTCATCTACTCAGACACTCACAGTGGAGGTTTTGGATGTTAATGACCATCCTCCTGTGTTCCAGCATCACATTTACAATACCACTGTCATGGAGAACAGAGAACCGGGAGAGTTCATTGTCACAGTCACTGCAATCGACCTGGATTCAGGTAGGCTACCTCCTTTAAAAACTCATGATGTGACCTTGACAAAATTTCAATTCAGTTTTACATTTAGCATAGTCAAACATAATATTACCAGTGAAATACTAGTTGGTAGTCAAACTGTTGTGGAAATCACCACAAGATGGCAGTATGGTTACTCACAGTTTCCATAATGCCTTTGTGATACCCAGAAACAGCTTTGCATTAAAGATAGTTCACTTTGTAATTCATTTTTGATATGTTTTAGCTTACCTCAAGGGCATCCAAGATGTACGTGTCTTTGTTTCCACAGTATTTTCAATTTTGATATTTTTAGGTCAAACTGTTGTTGTCTATCAGTCATATAATGGAAGTTTATGGGGCCCACCTCAAAGAGCACGCACAGAGAAGTCCAAATTAAACATCATTTAATGACTCGTAAATGTAAGTACACATTGATGGCCTAAGACACGAAACGAGCGGTTTGTGTGAGAAAATGAACAGTATTTATATCATTTTTACCTTGTGTAACCACAGCCACGTCCAAGTGTAATGAAGGCACGGCGCTTCGGTCTGCGCATGCGCCGGAAGTGATCTTTTTTGTGCGTGTACGTCGCTCATTGCACAGAGATTTCGGAAGTTTTCACTTTCTCTGTGAAGATCGAAACATATTTAGATATACAGGAAATCGCAATGGAAGATGATTTCGATGTATCTAAATATGTTTAGATCTTCACAGTGAAAGGTAAAAATTCTGTGATAATGTGATAATAAACTGGAATAATTTACGGCTTTAAACAAATACCCATTTAAATGCTTAGGATGTTTGCGTTGTAAGACTGTTTAGGGAGACTTTAGATTTAAAGACGGTGTCTCGTTATGCAATGTTTTCTTAGTCAAATCATAATTTGAAATACAAAACGCGTGAGCTCACAAGGGACTCACAATATGACTTTATGAGCTATCCAGTCATTCTATAAAGATCAGTGGCTGTGATTAAAATTAAACTCTCTGAATATGTCCCTTCAATGTTCAACACATATTGGGTTGTGACCTTTGATCAATGGCTTCTGCACTTCAAATGCATCTTTTACAGTATCTTTTTCACTTCTGTAAGTGATGTTATGAAGAGATTGAGGTTCTGCATAGCACATACAATATATTGCCAAAAGTTTTGGGACATCTGCCTTTACAGGCACATGAACTTTAATGGCATCCCATTCTTAATCCATAGGGTTTATATGGAGTTGGCCCACCTTTTGTAGCTTTAACAGCTTTCCACAAGGTTTAAGAGTGTTTATGGGAATTTTTGACCATTCTCCTAGAAGCGCATTCGTGAGGTCAGGCACTGATGTTGGACGATAAGACCTGCCTCACAGTCTCCACTCTAATTCATCCCAAAGGTGTTCTATCAGGTGCAGGCCAGTCAAGTTCCTCCACACTAAACTCGCTCAACCATGTTTTTATGGACCTTGCTTCGTGCACTGGTGCACAGTCATGTTGGAACAGGAAGGGGCCATGCCCAAACTGCAGGGGTGTAGCAATCATTTCAAAAGTGAGGGGGACAGAATGTCAAGCATTATACCTTTTTTTTTTTACAATACTGCATTTATATTGAATGGTAACACATTACAATAAGGTTCCATTCGTTATCTATCTATCTATCTATCTATCTATCTATCTATCTATCTATCTATCTATCTATCTATCTATCTATCTATCTATCTATCTATCTATCTATCTATCTGTTTTACTTAACCAAAACTGTCTTTCATATTGAAAACATTCAAACTTCATGCTTTTAAAACTTCTTCAAACTTTCTGGTTAGGCTTTTTAAAGAAAACTTAACGTTTGTCTACAAACTTTTTTAATTTAATTGTAAAGTGTTACCTTATTATATGGTAAACATCATGTACACATGTTACAAGTCAAGTGCAACGCTGCATGATTCAAGCAAATAAGTTAGATAATGGCAGAAAATTAGGCAAAGTTATTCATCAATGACAATGAGCAACAAAATTCGGATACCACATTACAACTTACAGTTCTTGACTTTTTTGCGAAAAAAGTGTGAAGTGTTTTTTGCCGTTTTGAATTCCTTTCGACCTTCGACGATGGATTCAGTGCGGGTGCACGGGCGTGTGGTGATGCACGAGCGCGAGTGACTGATTACCATGGCAACGTGAAAGTCACGTGTAGATACAGTAGATAGGCGATCTTTTCTCTTTGAATTTTAAATCTGTATCTATAAATACACATTGGCTCGCGAAAACCTCAACATGTCATGAACACTTCCCCTATGAAAAAGTGCGGGGGACAAATTTACATTTTATAAAATGTGGGGGGGACACGTCCCCCGCGTCCCTCCGTGTAATCTACGCCCTTGCCAAACTGTGTCCACAAAGTTGGGAGCATAAAATTGTCCAAAATGTCTTGGTATGCTGAAGAATTAATTGTTCATTTCACTGGAACGAAGGGGCAAAACCCAACCCCTGAAAAACAACCCCACACCATAATCCCTCCTCCACTAAAATTTAGACTTGGCACAATGCAGTCAGGCAAGTACCGTTCTCCTGGCAACCGCCAAACCCAGAATCGTCTATCGGATTGCCAGGCAGAGAAGCATGATTCGTCACTCCAGAGAACACGTCTCCACTGCTCTAGTGTCCAGTGGGCGGCATGCTTTACACCACTTACACCACCTATTGGTCTGTGTAGCTATTGGTCTGTAAATTTTACGAATGGACTTATTGCACAGGAAGCAACCTATCACGGTGCAACGCTTGAATGTATTGAGTTCTGGGAGTGACCCATTCTTTCACAAATGTTTGTAGAAGCAGTCTGGATGCCTAGGTGCTTGATTTTACACAACTGTGGTCATGAAAATGAGTGGACCAAACACCTGAATTCAATGATTTGAAGGGGTGTCTCAATAGTTTTGGGATTATAGTGTATATTCAACTAATCCACAATGACGTTATTACTTGTCTAGCTTGCGTGAAGTTCACCGGTCAAATTAAAACATACATTTCCCTGGCACAAACACACTTCATGTTCTTTATGTTTGTTCATGTTTTCTGTCACTTTAGTCACTTTTCAAAGAATATCTGTATTAGACCAAACAAGTCCTGTGCTGGTCAGAAAATCCAATTGACTCGTGAGATTTAATTGGGTTTTACACATAATTAGGTACACGTTTCTGTAACAGTAGCCTGTAAAAACCTCCATGTAGCAAAACATGTCAGCACTAGTAACTTTAGGTTGTAGATTTCTTTTCATATTTGTTCATCATGATTTCAGTCTAAGACCCCGTTTACACCTGGTATTAAAATGCGATCTGTATCCAGATAAGTTATCCGGATAATAAGTACTGATTCCATTTACACCTGGCCACATAAATGTGTTTTTGCAAAACGGATATAAATCCGATCTTCACCTCCTGCGTTGTATGCAGATTTATTGGATTGCACGCCACCAAAAGCAACAGATCTGAGCAGCATTTTATTGATCATCAGCTAATTTCCAAATCAGAGACATCAATAAGAGAGAGTGGCAACAGGCCTGGTAAGATAATTTCGTTTCTTTACTTGAAGATGTGTTAACTGCGTCTGTGACTTACTTTCACTTTTATTTGCGATGTTTGCACGTTGAATAGACGCTCAGCTGCTCATCTGCGGTGATGCGTGTCGCGTGTCGCATCTGACTAGGCTATAACATGACATAGCCTATATAACACGCTCTCACTCGTTTATTTTTTAGCATTTTTGGGAGGAGTAAAATATACATATGTGGTTTCAACAACCAGATTGCGTTTCCACCTAGTAAAAATCCGGACACAATGCGAGCCAGACTACCTCCAGATGTGGTCAGGCAGATCCGATCACGATCCGATCACAACGCGTTTACACCTTGCATTAACATGCGTTTTTTATTATCCGGATAACTTATCTGGATACAGATCGCATTTTAATACCAGGTGTAAACGGGGTCTAAAAGTCCAGATGGCCCTGGTCATCAGACTCAAAATTTATTTAGTTAGCAGACTGCTGTTAAAAACATACATCCACCTGAATTATGTTTCATCGAACTTGATTGCTAACGTAAATCAACGGGTCTTTGTGTTCTTTTTCGCACGCCGTGTGTTATTCTGTGCGTCTTGTGCCTTGTCCAAATATTCACAAATCTACCAGGCCCTTTTAAAATACCTCAGCCTCAATATCAGTGTCTGCCTGTCTCTGTGTTTCTGACGTTATCCTAGAACAGCAGTCAGGCTCCTGCAGGATATTTGAAATTGTGTGTGATGATTCACTAACTCAAGCCATCTGTGCTAATAAAGACTGGTTATTTTTTCTCCCAGAATTCACTCCTTTCAGCAGTGCGGTCTATGGTTTGTTCTTTGATTTTATCTTCCATTACGTTAAACCTCACGAAACCACTGTGCCAAATGTTCATCAGATGAAGATTTATATTGTTAGTAATTGTTTCAACTGTCTCTTACTTTTGCATGAATTGTTTGATTTTAGTACACTCATAAAGCTGATATATGATGTTTGTGGCTGCTGGTGAAGTTTCCAGCATAAGAGTTGCTCTGAGGGTGTCTGTTCTGATTTTGAGTGTGCGTGTATGAGGGTCAATTATTTTTTTCTACAATTGATTAATTTATTTAAACATACATTAGCATTAACATTTTAAATTTAGAATGAAATTTCATGGTTACATTTTTGGGAGGGGAAACCACCTTATGTTTGCCATAATATGTAACGTTACTCTAATGAAGAGAAGGCGTAGCGGATGTAATTGCAACTAAAAGTTGTTAAATCAAACAAAAGAACAAAAAGAAAAACAAGACATAAATTAAAACTGTGATGTAACCACACACTAACACAAGAAAATTAATGTAGAGAACTGAAGGCCTTAAATAATGGAATTCAATACAAACCAGGTGTGTACTAGTCAGTGAAATAATGAATTACCGTGACAACCAAACAAAAAGGAAGAAAACACAGGAAATAAGGATAACAAACTAAAAGTCATTGAAAATTAAACCAAAACCAACTTAATGTGACAATATTAATAAGTAATGTTATTTTTATTTCTTTGACAAACATTTAATTTTTTAACAAAAGTGCTTATTAAAGGGTTAGTTCACCCAAAAATGAAAATCATGTCATTAATGACTGACCCTCATGTCGTTTCAATCCCGTAAGACCTCCGTTCATCTTCGGGACACAGTTTAAGATATTTTAGATTTAGTCAGAGTTTTCTGTCCCTCCATTGAAAATGTATACATGGCGATAGGTTACGACCAATCTTAGATCTATGAGTTTTGAACTGGGCCCTGTACATGCTCCTGAGGTCTCATATGTATCAACCTGAGTGGCATTACTACCGCAGAAGATGCCATATTCAGCTCTCTGTCATTATGTCATGCAATCAAAATCAGAAGATGTTGGGGCAACTACTTGTAGACAAACTAATTTTCTGGTCTGATGACCAATCTGTGAAGATTTGTATTAAGATTAAAGGGTTAGTTCACCCAAAAATGAAAATTCTGTCAGTATTTACTCACCCTCATGTTGTTCCAAACCTCTATTTGTTTATTTGTTCTCCTGAACACAAAGGAAGATATTTGGAAGAATGTTTTAATCAAACAGATCTCATTCCCCATTGACTACCATAGTATGTATTTTTTCCTACTATGGTAGTCAATGGGGAATGAGATCTGTTTGATTAAAACATTCTTCAAAATATCTTCCTTTGTGTATAGCAGAAAAAATAAACACATAGAGGTTTGGAACAACATGAAGGTGAGTAAATACTGACAGAATTTTCATTTTTGGGTGAACTAACCCTTTAAGTGTGTGTTTCCCACAGAGGTGAATTCTGCTATTAGCTACAGCTTGTTACCCGGCCCTGCATATGAGCTCTTCACGATAAACACTCACACGGGTCAGATCAGCACCTCCACTCGGCTAGACAGAGAGATCCAATCCAGGTTTACTCTCAGAGGTGAGTTCTTCCATCTGCCTGAATCCTTCCTCCCGGTCCTTCCTAAACCTTTTTTTTTTATTTTTCAGTGTTCACTTAAGAATCTGTAATACACTATTTAAGTTATATACTTAGCAATTATTGAATATTATGAACTCACATTGTCGCACTGTCTAATCAAACTTGCTTCTAAAAATTAGACACTGAAGGACATGATTTATATGAGCTTTTTTTAGTGGTAGGGATTATTGATTGACAAAGATATATTTAACAGATACATTTTTTTTTTTTTTTTTTGCTGTATTAATATATTATTTGTAAAATTATATAGTCTGGAATAGGACTATTAGCATGGTAAATGGTTTCAGATGTTTTACAATTTTTTTTCTAATTCCAGTCCTTGTGGCTCCTTGCTCTTCACAGTATGGCTGAATCTGAAATCGCCCCCTATACCCTCAAATATCAAATTTCAATCCCACATTGCACTACAATAACGTGTGTACAATCCAATTATGGGTAACACTTTATAATAACTGCACGCTAATAATCATTAGTTAAGCATGAGTAAACAGTTAATTCATCATTCATAAAGCATTAATAGAAATTAATAAGCGGTAAATGCTTTCTTCTTGATTTAAAAGCATATTTGTTTAATAATTGTATTTTCATCCTTTATTAAATATCAATTTATTATTTCTTAATGAAGAATTGCCTTTTTTTATTAACCAGTTATTTAAGAGTTGTCAGTGGTTCATAAGATTACTTAGAATGTGTAAGTAAATGATTAATAAACTATTTAAATGTATATTCATACATCTTATTATTCAGACATATAGTGATGGTTACATAGTGTGTTAATAAATGTTTTATTAACATGTATTTATGCTGTAATTCAGGGTTAATTCGGGTAGTTATAAAGCATTTAGTCGTGGTCAGTTAACTATGTTTGTGAGCTCATCTAAAGTGAGGACTATCATGCCTTGTAAAGCATTTATAAGCATTTATGTTCTTTATCACTGTGTTGTTTGTTACATTTTAAATTAAAAGATTGATGCACCTTTAAATCTCTTTTATAAATCCTTTACAAGGCATGAATAGTCCTCACTTTAGATTAGCTCACAAAAGAGTTAAATGACCACTACTAAATGCTTTATAACTACCTGTATTTACTACATTTACTTACAAATTCTAAGTGATCTTATGAATGCCTGACAACCCTTAAATAACTGCTTTGTAAATAATGCGATACTTCATTTAGAAATTAATAATTTATCATTGACAAAGTATGAAAATACAATTATTAAACACATTACAGATTGTAATGGAGAGTCAGAGGCGTGCAGATCCATATGCAGTGTATTTATTAAGAATAGTCAAACAGGCAAGAGTCAACGATCAGCATCAAACATGGAGCAGGCAATCCAAGAACATAAACGATACCAGGCAGGGGTCAGGGCAGGCGGCAATGATCGTGGTCCAGGAGAAACAGGCAAGGGTCAAGGCAGGCAGCAAACAGAGAATCAAGGTCCAATAACAGTCACGGGTCAATACACAGAGAATCCAGATAGTCAACAGAGAAACGCTCAGAAATGTCGCCAGGGCAAAACAAGACTTTGCACTGATGGAAAGTCAGTGGGCTGTTTATATAGAGCGGTGAATGAGGATCACCTGTGCCGGTGATCAGACCTAGGTACGGGGCTTATGGGAAATGAAGTTCACTACTCAGGAGACGGAGCTCTGGGTTGAGCGGAGAGAGCCACAGAGGCGCGATTCATGACACAGATATGCTTATAAATCAAGAAAAAAGCATTTATAGCTGTATTTATAAACTGCTTATTAATGTCTATTAATGCTTTATGAATGATTAATTAACTGTTTCCTCATGCTTAACAAATGATTAATAGCGTGCAGTTATTATAAAGTGTTACCCATGAATGCTTAACGGCTGTCTGAATTTTTTTTTATTCACTCCTTCAAGTGAACAGTATTAGTGGACTAATGTAGGGAATACAATACCGAGAGGTACCATGAATGGAGAGGATGTACAGTTACATAAACTGGGAGCATACAATTACCAAACACACAGGGTATTCACTAAACACACAGTATTCACTAAAACAAACACAAGTTTTAGGATCTCTAAGGCAGAATCTAAAGATCTCTGATATATAATACTTTTATATAAGAATTAATTAATTATTCATAATAAATTAACATAAGCATAATAAAATAAAGAAAATAGGACATAATTTGGTCATTTTTCTTTTTAACTTATTTAACCCATAATCATGATAGTTGATTTGTAACTGTCGCATCTCACATACTTTACAACTGTGAACAGCTGCATACAAACACACCTGCTTCAGATGGGAATCTTAAGATCTCAAAATACCCTTTCAAGTCAGGGTTAGCAGTGCACATATGGTCGAAGGGATCCCACCCTTCAACTGAGCGTTTCAGAGAAGAGATTCACATAAAATATGCAGAGCGGGGAGGCTCGAGGACTGGAATTGGGAATCCTTGATTTTTTTGGAATTGGGGGGGGGGGGTACTCCAGGACCAGGCTTGGGAACCATTGTTGTAGAATATTTTTTATTCTATTATATAATTTTTATTAATAATTTGAATTAGTATTATTTTTAAATGTTCCTTTTTTCAATTTAATTTCAGTTAAAGTTTTTTTTTATTTTTTATTTTTTATTAAACAGTCAAACCAACATAGTGCAGTAGTGAGCAATCTTGTAATTCCAGAAGTAACATTGGGTGATTTAAGTGTTTGATCTAAGTGTGTATGTGTGAGTGGGTGTGAGTGTGGGTATATGTATGTGTGTATGCGTTAATGAAGTAACCATTTTTTATTTATTGCCATTGTCATTACCATCACCACCCCCACTCCCCACTACCACCATAGTGCCAATATTGTAATAGTCGATTTGGTACATAGGAGAAAGGATAAAAATCGACTAATTTCAGTTAAAGTTTTAGTAAATTTGTTGTCTTTTGTCTGTATTCCAAAAATTGGAAATGTCTGTTTTTATTTATATGTAATAACAAGTAATAAAATGTTTTTTATATATAGTTTTAGTTTTACAGTAGTTCACCGTGATAACCGTCAAAGCTTTTTTTCTTTGTTTCAGGACATTTGCACAATGTTTTTAATAATCTGTAATCGCATGTTCATTAAAATACTTAAAGCACTGGAATTTGAAGTGCTGTTGCAACCTTCACTTGTCAATGATTCCCCGATTATAATAAACTGGTCACCTCCTTGTGTTTTTGACTGCTTTACAGTTCAGGCAGAGGATAGTGGGACTCCATCTCTCTCCGGCACTGCAACAGTCCTGTGCTTCATCCTGGATGATAATGACAACACTCCAGAAATCTCTCAACCTGATTTGCACATAGTTATCCCAGAGAACTTGCCTCCTGGAGTCATTCACATCATCCAGGCCTCAGATGTTGATGATGGTCTAAATGGAACTATTCAGTACTCCATAGAAGGTAAGTAAATTAATCTGTCCTTCACATTATTGACATTTACTGGTTTTACATCTAACTGATTTCATGATATTTTATAAATTGATACAAGGGATTAGAAAACAAAATGTTTTTAATTTGAGCTCTGAGTAGAAACAATACTTTTACATCCCCATTCTGGAATTCCATAACCTACTTTTCAGATAGTGTAATTTATTCAATTCAAATAAATTCACATTTAGTTGTAAAGTACTTTTACTAAGTAATATATATTGTTTCAAAGCTGCTTTACAGAAAATGCATGTTTACATTACAATTTAGAGTGATCTGTTATCAGATGTGTGTCCAAGGTATGTAATGTAGATATACAAATCACACAGGTTTGCTAATAATGTAATAATTTAAGGCAGAAACAAGGATCTCATTGAAGTGATGAATACATACATGGAATGGCAGTTGTATATTGAAGATAGATCTACTGCAACTGAAATTATGTATTTGCTGTTTACAGCTAACATACAGTAACCCCGGACATATGCGTATAAAAAGAAGCTGGCATGCATTCACTCATTCAGATTTGTTCAGACTTGGCTATGCGATTCAGTTCGCCAGGCGCCTGCCCTGGTTCAATGCTGTCCTTTTTACTTGGTGTCAGGAAAAGATGCCCCTGTTCTGTGTGGAGAAATTGCAGTGCTCTTGGCGAAGGACGTTACAGAGCCTACTCCTTCAGCCTAGATGAAGAATGGATTTTACAGCCCTTACTTCATACCTCATAAAGGCAATAGGATACGACCAATCTTAGATCTATGAGTTTTGAACTGGGCCCTGTACAGGCTTCTCTTCAAGATTTTGATGCAGAGGTGCATTTTGATAGGATTGGTTCACGATGATAGACCTGAAGGACATGTACATCCATGTCTTGATTTTACCTCAACAGAGAGCATTTCTTCGGTTTGCTTTTCGAGGGTCAGACATACCAGTACAAGGTCCTCCCCTTCAGGCTTTCCCTGTCTCCACGCATCTTTGTGAAAGTCGCAGAGACTATCCTTTCCCTGCTAGAGGGCATCTAATAAGCGAACCCATCAAGTTGGTACTGAATTGCCTGAAATCATTCCAAAGGAAGAACAGCGGTCCCTCTGAAACAATTTCAGAGGCTCCTGGGGTCTCATATGCATCAACCCTAGCGGCATTACTACCGCAAGAGGATGCCATATTCTTCTGTGGTAGTAATGCCACTCGGGTTGATGCTTTTGAGACCACTGGCTTCAGACTTAAGTCCTGAGATGGGCATGACACTGCGGTACACATTGCTTGGCTATAATGCCGATATGTCACTGTACGTTCAACCCTTGGACAGACCTTGCATTTCTAGGGGAAGGTGTTCCCTTAGAACAAATGTCCAGACATGTTGTTGTCATAGCAAATGCTTCATTCAAGTCTGGCTTGTGGTGTTGTATGCAACAAGCACGCAGCCTCAGCCTCCTGGACAGGACCTCGACAGCATTTGGAATATCAATTGCCTAAAGTTACTAACAGTATGGCCATTCACATGTTGCAACTCGCCCACCTGAAGTTACTGTGGGCCACTTACATCCCAGGTGATCTCAACTGTGAAGTGGACGTGCTGTCATGACAAGTGATGCTCCAGGGAGAGAGGAGACTCAACCCCTGGGTGGTCCATCACATTTGGGGTCAATTTGGCAAGTTCTAATCTGTTCATTTGGAAAAAATATTCCCACTGCCCTCTGTGCTATTCCCTGACCAAGGTCCCCCTTGGCATGGACGCACTGGCACACAGCTGGCCCCAGGGCCTGCGCAAATATTATTTTCCCCCTGTGATCCTGATTGCATAGACATTGTGCAAAGTCAGGGACGATGAATAACAGGTACTGTTGGTTGTGTCGCATTGGTCCACCCAGACTTGTTTCTCCGAGCTCCCTGGTAAATCCCCCCGAGGAGGGACCTCCTTTCTCAGGTATGGGGCACAACCTGGCACCTGAGCCCAGACTTCTGGAACCTCTATATCTGGCCCCTAGATGGGACATGGAAGACTTGAGGGGCTATCACTCAGGCTTGAGCCCTTACAATGAGTTGAAGTGAAGTCTATTCTGGTGTTCTTTCCAAAAGGAAGACCCACAGATATGCCTATTCACGTCAGTGCTTTCCTTCCTGCAGGAGAGGTACTATACGGCTGTCCCACTCTACAGTAGATCTTAAGGAAAGCACGACCCAATAATCAGGTTCCTCAAAAGCACCAGGAGGTTAAATCCTCCAAGACTGTGCCTTATTCCCTCATGGAACCTCCCTGTAGAATTGCTGGGTTTATAGCTTTTTTGAGCCCCTGGAGTCAGTTGACTTAAGTGCCCTTTCCTTGAAGACGGTGCTCCTGAACCCGCTAACATCCATCAAGAGGGTCGGGGACCTGCAGGGTTTTCTTCCAGTAAAACGTGCCTTGAGTTCAGTTTGGCATTCTCTCAAGTGATACTGAGATCCCAGCCGGCTACATGTCCAAAGTTCCCACCAACCCTTCTAAGGGATCAAGTGGCTGACTTGACGAGGCTGACCCAGTATCGTTGATGTATCCAGTATGCGCCCTGTCTGTTTACTTGGACCGAATGGAGAGCTTTAGAACTTCTCAGACAAACCTTTGTTTGTTTAGGGGGTCAGCAGAAGGAGGCTATTTCCAAACAGGGGTTGATAATTGATGCCATTTCCTTGGCTTATCAAGCACAGGGTGTGCTCTGCTGTGCCCTTTTGGCCCTTTTAGGGACTACTGCAGCGACTTCTTTCCATGTGTGGTACTTCCCCGTTGATAAGTCCATGTGATGTGTTCTCCACATATTAACCTCCCCTTTGGCAGGATGTGGTCTCCGTAGTGTTTTTTTTTTCCTACTTCGGAAGAAGAGCTCTTCCCCAGCTCTAAAATCTGAGTGACAAATGGGCAACGTTTTAGTGACTATTGTAACCTCCATTACCTGATAGAGGGAACGAAACATAGTGTCCCTCCTGCTACAACATTGAACCACCTGCTGAAATGGCCGGTACATACTCTCGGCTCCTCAGCACAAACCTGAATGAGTGGATGCATGCCGGCTCCTTTTAGAAATTTTACTCACCAATTCTTATTTGTCTTTTATCAAAGTGTCAGAGTTATTTGGGGCCCCCAAATGCGATCCCTAGTGTCATCAACACTGCATCTTGTTCGCTCCAGCAGGAAATGGAGATTACAATAGTAACTATAATTTTGAAATAGTAGTACACAATAAAATAACCTCTTTGGGTTACGTATCTCCCTGTATCCCCTGCAGTATTATTGGCTGATGGCAGTCCTGCCCATCATTATTATCTCTGTGTAAACTTCAAAAACGTGAATCTATGAAAACGGTGACAGCATGTACATGCGCATTACATGTTTAGTCTGGCACAAAGTCTTTCTTTACAAAGTGACTTTTAATTTTAATTACTTAAAATGATTGCCAATTACTTGTCTGGCATGCATAATATAGCTCTGCTTTGTTAAAAGGCAGCACTATTACCTTCGACTATTCTGGTAAACGGCACTAACCTATTCACTAGAGAGCATAACCCTGCTTAATCTGTTGAACTGGGGATGACAACATATGAAAGAGTGGGCTGTTTACTGTGACTTAGTCCATGCCAGCTCTCATCTGCCAAGCTCTACACCCATAAATATGTTTATCAAGGAGCATAACCCTAATCTAATAAATTGGAAAGAGCAACAGATGAGAGAGTGGGACACAATTTGTGGCTTGGTGCATCATCACCTCTTTTCTTGCAGTGTCTGAAACGGTTCGACAAAGGGTCACAAACGGTTCGACAAAATCGGTCTTGCTATAAACCCCTCTTTTCCGAGAACCTACTCTGCTCTGATTGGTCAGGTGGTCCAGTCTGTTGTAATTGGTCTAATTGTTTACAGCAAGGGTCAGAAATGAAACTCAGTTACGATATCTGAATTTCATCTCCGGAGGCTTCCTTGCCACTTGTATACATAGTAGTGATGCGTGGATTGCAGTTATATCCGTGAATGCTGCAGATAATAACATTAAAAAAATTGTGGATGGATGAGAGATAAATTATTAACTCTCATCTCATAGTAAAATGCAACAAACTTGCATCACTCTTTTTCTTTAGTTTTCGACAACGAAATTTAGCCTTTCTCTTCAGGGAAAACCAATCAAAGAAAACATGCCTAGTGCACATCCTACTAGTCATTATATAAAACACAAAAGGAACCTGCATGAGACATTGCCTAATAACTTGACAGGTTTATCTAAAAATATACACAATCTTAAAATAAAATATTCTGATAAGAGTGTTTCCTAACATAATGGTGGAAGCAATTTTCCATAAAATTAGTTTTAATTCTTAAAGCTAAGCGCAACAAATAGCAGATCAAGCTGTAAGCTGTCAGTCAGTAACTTTTAACTGGTTTAACACGCTTTCAGAGCTGCTCGCTTTCGATTTCATTCTTTTTTTCATTATAAATCTCACACTTTAAACGGGGCATGAACTGGATTTTTAAATTTTTTAATTTTGTTATCTGAGGTCAACTTATGATGTTCGCTTGGTTTTTACATCAAAAAACATCCAAATGAATAAGTAATAGGCTATTTTCTACCCTAGTTTTGAGCCTAGCTCAAAAATGCTCGGTTTTATGGCCGTCTCGCATTGAAGACATGGACAACTATATTACACTACAGAAAAAGCATATTAATGGCACTTTAATATATTTTAAAATCTAATTTATTCCTGTGAAGGCAAAGCTTAATTTTCATTACTCCAGTCTTCTGTGTCACTTGATCATTCAGAAATCTAAAAATAAATAAATAAATCTAAATTGAAATGTTGAAAAATAAAAATAAAAATCTTTCTGATCCAAAACATTTGAATGGTAGTGTTTAATACAAAAATAATGTATACTTCAAGAAAAACGTTCAGGGTCTGAATCAGTGCTTATGTCTCTCTTTTTTTTCCACTATTATAAGCTGAAGAGTGTTTCAGCATTGACGATGTGACTGGGGCGATCAGCACCCTTCGATTCCTGGACAGAGAGGAACGATCCAACTACTCCCTTCTCATCACTGCTTCTGACCATGGGCGTCCACCTCTGAGCTCCACTGCACTGCTGTACGTCACCCTCTCAGATGAAAACGATAACAGCCCCTCATTTTCTCGGAAAAGCTATCGTGCCAGCATTAGTGAGGGGCTCCATGTGGGTTCAGAGATCCTACATCTGATTGCATGGGATCCCGATGAGGGGCCCAATGGTGTAGTGACCTTCTCCTTGGAGGAGGAGAATTCTGGAAACTTTTATGTTAATGGTTCTACTGGTGTAGTAAGGCTCACAAAGCCATTGGACCGTGAAACTCGTTCCCAGCATGTCTTCCGCGCTGTAGCTACTGACGGCTGCAGCCAAGGTCCACGAAGCTCAATCGCTACAGTTACAATACATGTTGAAGATATTAATGACAATCCACCTGCATGCGTTAAGGAACCCATGCAGGTGTCAATCTCTTCCATGACCGCACGTCCTAATCGATCCATCATAACAGTTACAGCCGAAGATCCAGACCAAGGAGACAATGGGACAGTAGTGTTTAGCCTAGCAGAAGAAGATGAGCTGTTTCAGGTTGATGGGTCTGGAGCTGTCAGGTTAAAAGTCCCCCTGAGTAATGATGAGGTGTTTGGGACAAAGCTGCTCCGGATACGGGCTGTGGATCTAGGTAAACCTTCCCTCACCTCTAGCTGCCTTCTACTCATTCACCTTAAGAGTGAAGAGCCGGCATTGCAGTTTACTGAGGAACTCTATGAAGTCATCATACCAGAAAATAGCAAAACAGGTATACTTTGAGCATCTCTTTTTAAGCTTACAGATTTTAGATGTTTTTCCACCTTTGAGATATTTTTCTTGGCATTTCAGCATTGATTTACCTTGATGTGTTTAATTTTCGAAAAAACTTGTATTTCTGAGAAGGTCAGTAATTGTGGATGCTTAAAGGGTTAGTTCACCCAAAAATGAAAATTAAGTCATTAATTACTCACCCCCATGCTGTTCCAACCCCGTAAGACCTTCGTTCATCTTCGGAACACAAATAAAGATATTTTTGATTGAATCTGAGAGCTGGATCAGTCCTAGATAGACTGCCTAAGGGACTGGCTCTTGACGGCACATAAAGTCATTAAAGAAAAGGTTTAAATATTCCATGTGCCTACAGCGGCTCAATTATAAGTTTATCAAGCGACGAGACTACTTTTTGTGCGAAAAAAACATAAATAACGACTTTATTCCACTATTCCATTACTTCCTTATGGGCGCATGCGCGAGAACTGAGACGAGGACATTCTCATTCGTCTACTTCTTGTTACCGGCTGCTCACTGCTTAGGAGTTTTACCGCCACCTACCGTATAAAATGATGATCCATATATAAAGCGCTCCGGATTATAAGGAACACTGTCGTTTTTTAGAAGATTAAAGGCTTTTAAGTGCACCTTATAGTGCGGAAAATACGCAAATTGAAAAGCGTATGTACAGCGCGCATCTTCCTCTGCTTGTAAACAGAAAGTTTTGCGCTTCCAGTTATATCAGCACATCATCTTATACGGCAGGGGGCGGTAAAACTCCTAAGCGGTGAGCAGCCGGTAACAAGAAGTAGACGAATGAGAACGTCCTCGTCTCAGTTCTCGCGCATGCGCCCATAAGGAAGTAATGGAATAGTGGAATAAAGTCGTTATTTGTGTTTTTTTTCGCACAAAAAGTATTCTCGTCGCTTGATAAACTCATAATTGAGCCGCTGTAGGCACATGGAATATTTAAACCTTTTCTTTAATGACTTTATGGGCCGTCGAGAGCCAGTCCCTTAGGCAGTCTATGTAGGACTGATCCAGCTCTCAGATTCAATCAAAAATATCTTTATTTGTGTTCTGAAGATGAACGAAGGTCTTACGGGGTTGGTACAACGTGGGGGTGAGTAATTAATGACTTAATTTTCATTTTTGGGTGAACTAACCCTTTAACTGACTGTGTTTGTGTGTACCACTTATCATTTAAGGCTCTTGGGTTGCAAATGTTGTGGCTTATGACCAGACAGCAGATGAAGGAACGATCAAGTACAGTATTTTTGGTGGCAGTGAAAATGAAGCCTTCACTATTAACCCAATTACAGGTGAGAATTGTATAGGCGTCATCGTAGATTAAAAGTGTTAGTAAAATGTACTCATTTCTTTTCATAATTATTATTGTTATTATTATTGTTGTTGTTGTCATCAGCATTATTATTATTATTATTATTGTAATGATGATAATAATACAGCAATACATTATTGTTATTAATATTATTATTATTAGTGGTGGTACTTGTAATGATGATGATGATACTGCAATACATTCATAGTATTCATGAATTTTATGTATGATAATAATAATAATAATAATAATAATACAATTTTTTAAAAATAATTCTTCAGTTCTTTTTTCAATTTTGTTGACAACAGAATAAAAATTTAACTCAGAGACCTTTTAGTTAGGCACTTCTAAACTCTAAATATTTTCAGTATTGAGAAAGTAAAGTAGAAGTGGTAGAAGAATAAAAAATATCATGCTTTGTAGTATAAAGTTCTTTGTAGAATAAAGTATGTGGTCCTGGGGCATTGTCAAGTTTTTAATTTTCTAAAATATCACCATTGACAGGTGATATCACAGTTAAGGAGCAGAGACTGATAGACTTTGAGGTACAGAGTAAAATTTACCTAGTGGTTCTGGCTGAAAATGGACACCAAACAGCCTATGCCAGGGTGGCCATCACTCTGCAGGACATCAATGATAACGCACCAGTTTTCAAGCAAAGCTACTACAGAACAGCTGTATGGGAGGGTCAAATTCATAACACCTATGTCATGCAGGTACACATTTTTGGATTTGTTTGACCGTGCCATATGGTAATTATTATGAAATTATCGGTAACACTTTATTTCGATAGTCCACTTTAGATATTCTACTAGCTATAAGTAACTTTTCAACTACATGTCAACTAACTGTCATTAGAGTATTAGTAGACTCTCTGCTTAATATCTCCTAACACTTTATTTTGTTGGTCCCCAAACTGACTATAAGTAACTTGTCTTCTACAAGTAAACTTATTCTCCTAACCCAAAGCCTAACACCTAACCATAACCAAACTGTCTACTGACAGTCTACTATAATATACTAATACTCTAATGAGAGTTACTTGTCATGTAGTTGAAAAGTTACTTATAATTGGTAAAATCGAAATAAAGTGTAACCAAATTATCTTGTAACTGATTCACACAATAACACAAAATGACTTATATAACTAGTTTGTAATCAAAAATAAAAGATGTTGCATATGATCATCAGTTTAACCAAAGAGATTTTAACTTACATTTCAGATCCCGATTTTAAAATTATATGACTTTAATTTTGTAGGTTTTAGCGACAGATTCTGACAGTGGTATAAATGGGCAGATCAGTTACTTCATTGTGGATGGGAACCACAATAATGCGTTTGTGATCGACTCTGTTCGTGGGATTCTTGCCACCAATGCTGTCTTGGACAGAGAAATTTTCTCATCCTACAAGTATGGCAACTTTCTTGACTTCAATTTCTTTCACAATTAAGTTTATATGGAAATGGTCTATTGGAAATTAATTGAACAATCATGGAAGTCCTTTAGACATTATATCATAATTATTTATTTTCCTGTTAGCCCTAAAAGTTATGAATTTCTATTTTTTATGAAAACAATTTTTTTTTTTTCAAATACAGATTAATTCTTCAGGTCAAGGACATGGGAAGTCCTCCTCTTACAGGCACCTGCACTGTCCGTGTCCAGGTTGTAGATGTAAATGATAATAGCCCTACAATTCCATCCATGGAACCAGTGACCATTGCAGAAAGTAAGAAACTTATAGATGTTTACTGATACAAAGTGCATGTTCACACCTTTCTTTATTTGTTTGGAAGAGTTTTAGTATGTGTTCAAAATGTTAAAGTACAACACACTGAACATATTCTTTCTTTGCCATCTCCACAGATCTTCCTGTTGGCTACATTGTCACCCAAGTGATTGCAAATGATGTAGACCTTAGTCCTTCAGCGACATACAGATTCAAAGATGAGGATCGGACCAGCAAAAGTTTTGCAATTGACCAGTACTCTGGGGTAATTACCACAACTAAAAGCCTGGACTATGAAGATCAAGGTGTCTATACATTGAGAGTGGAAGCATCAGACACTGTCCATCAAACTGAGGCCGAACTTTTCATCCATGTGTTGGATGTCAATGATAACCCTCCAGTCTTCTCTCAGGAATCTTACCAGGTAAAAAAAAAAATAATAATATATTAAACTAAGGTCACTTGATCACTTTTTAGCATCATAGGTCACAATCATGCACCATTCATGCTCTTCTTATAGTATTGACCATCTTTTACTGCTCACATTCAGGTTTTGTTGCCAGAGCGTACATCAGCTGACACATATGTTTTGTCTGTATCGGCAACTGATAAAGACTCTGGCCAAAATGGAAGAATTTCATACAGACTTCTTTCCAACCCAGTGAGAGGGTTCTACATTGATCCTGACAATGGTAATTTTCTACAAAAATTATTTGGTCACAAATCTTTAACTAAAGTAATACAATAAAGGTTGTTGTATAAAAAAGCAAGCTTTCTTTTATACAAATATATTAAAAAATATATTTAAAAAAACTGAAATATATAAAAAAAATGTAAGAAACGTAAAAAAAACTGTAGTATTTGTAAAATTATATTGGATTTGCTCCTAATTTCCGTGTGAAATTATCCCATGCCTGGAAAAAGCTCTAAGCCAATCAGACAATTCGAAAAGCAGAACTGTTGTATAAATGATAATAAAAACTGAAAAATTGAGCATATACAATATAATATGACATGTATCTTTGAGATATACAAAAGTAATTATTTGTATTGGGGTTTTATTCAGTTATGTAAATTAGAGTGGTTTTAGTTTTAACATAGTTCATAGTTCAAATATACAGTATAATATGGAATGCATCTTTGAGATATACAAAAGTAATTATTTTTATTGGCGTTTTATTCAGTTATGTAAATTAGAGTGGTTTTAGTTTTAACATAGTTCAATTTAGTGTGTCTGGCTGTAATAATAAAACAATCTTGTGTGTAGAATTGCATTTCTATCGAATTTTCTACTGCCTACAGGTGCAGTGTTTACAAACAAGCCTCTGGACAATGTTGCAAATGGAAACATGTTACGGCTGCTGGTGGAGGCGCATGACAGTGGGGACCCCAATCTATTTAGTGTCACTTCTGTGGACATAGAGGTAGTGGACTTTAACGATAATGCCCCATTGTTCACACAGAACTCATACCAGGTGAGTGTTCCCGAGGATGTATCTGTTGGAAGCTCTCTTCTCATTCTATTAGCAGAGGACAGTGACTACTCAAATATGAACAGCCATTTGGAGTATGCAATCATAGCTGGAAATGACGAAAGGCGGTTCTGCCTTGAAGTTGTTAGCATTCCAGCTGAAGCCCACAGCCGAACTGTTGGCCAACTAGTGCTCTGTGATACACTGGATCAAGAGACCACAGACACTTATTCATTGACTGTGACTGTAACAGACAGAGGAACCCCACCCCTGAACAGCTCAGCTGCAGTGTCAATCAAAGTCCTTGATATTAATGACAATGCACCTATTTTCAATAGTCCAGAGTATCATGTACAGGTCACTGAGAACAGACCCGTAGGTACAGCCCTTATCCGTATCTCTGCCTATGATCCTGATCTAGGGGCAAATGGGACTGTAACGTACAACATCATATCAGGTAACAGCAAAGGCTTGATCAGAATGGACTCTGCAACCGGTGTCCTTGAAGTTAATGGGACACTAGACTATGAAGAGAATAAAAAAATTACTTTAACAGTCCAAGCATCAGATTGTGGTGCTCCAAGTAACAAAAAAGTATCATTTGCGGTTGTTTACATATTGGTTCTTGATGAAAATGACAATTCCCCATTCTTCATGTTCCCCACCTACAACTGCTCGCTGTCTGAAAACCTGCCGGCTTTGACCCCTGTGTGCACGGTACATGCTATTGATGAAGATGCAGGAATCTTCGGACTACTTACTTATTCCATTTTAAACCCCTGTTATGTGGACTATGACAGTAGCAACCCAGACAAAAAAGAGGCATTTGGTATTGATCCTTTTACTGGAGACATCTACACCAAGCAGATGTTTGACTATGAAGGAGAGAGTGAATTCTGCTTTGTGGTAGAGGCACGTGATAAAGGAGATCAAGTGGCAACCTTGAGACTACAAATCGAAATTGAAGGCATTGATGAGTTCAGCCCCATCTTCACCCAGAATGTGTATCATTTCTCTCTGCCGACTAATGCCAAGGTTGGCCAAAGTATAGGCAACCTGATGGCTATGGATCATGATGGTGGCCTGGATGGCTCAGTGGAGTACTCTTTAGTCAACCCATCCCCATTTTTCAATGTCAACAAAACAACTGGCTGTCTATATATCTCAAACTCTGTGTATCAGAGAAGATCGAACTCAAACGAGACAACAGAGGACCTGTTAGTTCTAGCAAGCAGCCCCAAACTGAACTCCAGGTCATCAACTTGTCATGTTGTTGTGAACATATCCAGTTCAGCAAAGTCTCTGGCAAGTGTTGATCTCAGTGTCCACATTGCCAGTCTCATTGTGTCATTGATAGTGTTACTCCTCCTTTTAATGAGTTTCATTGCCCTTGTTCTAAGGTACAGGTCCAAAGAGAATGCCGTAAAGAAGAAAACCTCCTTATCTGCTAACCTTAACCTTGAGACTGACTCTTTAGGAACAACAGATGGAAACCATAACAGCAGTATCCATGGTATTAACCTCCAAAATTTACAAGAACCAATAGACACATGGGGAAGATTGGACATCCCAAACCCTTCAAGAAACTCAAACTCAAAAGCCTCAAGTGGAAGAGGATCTACAGAGGAAGAGACTGCTGAGGATCAAGAGATCAAGATGATCAACAAGTTTCCATGTTACAAACAGCTTGGCTCTGTAACAACACAACAGGCTTTAAGAGTCTCAGACTCAGGGATTCCTGGGGACTCAGACCAACTCTCCTTTCACTCGATAGATAAAGACCCACCTTCTGGTGCCAGTATTGGTATAGTCAGAATAGTGGATATGCCCAGTTCTGATAGTCTCCATAATTTCAGGGATGAAGGAGGAGGTGAGGGAATGCTTCCTCAGGTAGTCAACATGAAGGAAGTGGAGGAGGTCATACGAAGGTGCATGTCTATGCCTGATAACCAGGATTCAGTTGAGGGCTCACTCACCAATCTGATTTCCTCTGAGGAACCGCTACATGGGAGCTACAGTTGGGACTACTTTCTCAATTGGCAGCCGCGCTTCCAATCTTTGGCCTCTGTTTTTACAGACATTGGGATGCTTCCAGATGAAGGGATGAGGTCCAGGGATGTAGAGCCAGAGTCACAGAGCCTTTTGCACCCACCTCCTCTCATCACAGCAGTTGCCCAACCAGGAATTCGTGCTGTCCCTCCCAGAATGCCCCATAAAAGATCGCCCCTGGTCAGATTGCCCAATACTTGCACTAGAAACACAGAGCTGACCCATTCAGCAATGACTCCTAGTTTTTCCCCCTCTCTGTCATTACTTACTGTTAGGACACCCAGTTCCTCCCCAGTGGTTTCAGAAACCGGCTTGGGATGCTATTCAAAAATAACAACACTGCCAAGAGATATCTTGGATGATGCAGAGATTCAAGTGTAATCTTGTGTTTCAAATATATATGTACATGTGTAAAAAACTTTACTTTTTTAATTTAAAATGTTCTTTTGTGTTGGTTTTATATGAATTATTATTTGGTGTATGAAAGATTACTGTAATGACTGTTTTTTATATATAAATAATGCTAATAACCAAAGTTATAATCATAATATTTTATTGTTATAAAATACAAGACACAAACATTTTCATTATGTGAGGTTTTTTTTATCATTTCTAATTGTTTTAATGCTGATTCATTTAAAGGATTAGTTCACTAGTTCACAAAAAAAATGTTGCTGATAATTTACTCACCCCATGTCATACAAGATGTCCATGTCTTTCTTTCTTCAGTCGAAAAGAAATTAAGGTTTTAAAAGAAATATTACAGTATTTTTTTTTTATCTTGGTCTCTCGCAAGGTCTCTCGCTCGCTGACATATTAACTCATTTGCGGTATAACTAGTCGATCACAAGTGGCTCAACAGGTAGATCTATAAATGAAGAGTTCAGATGCAAAAGCCTCTAAGTGCCATTTGAAATTTTCTTCTAAATTGATCATTTTTATCAAGCTTATATATTTAAGTTCAGTCATTTCACTTAAATGAGAATTAAGATTACCTATGAATTGCCATTTAAGTGAAATTACTGAACTTAAATATACAAACTTGATAAAAATGATCATTCTAGAAGAAAATTTCAAATGGCACTTAGAGGCTTTTGCATCTGAACTCTTCATATAGGCCCCATCCACACTACTGCATTTTCGTTTAAAAACGGAGACCTTTTGCTACGTTTGCACCTCCCGTCCAGACTAAAACGGGAAAAACGAAACGCTGAAGAAACGCTGCAGCTCCGTTTTGCATTTTGAATCTCCGGAGGGACTGCTACAGTAGTGTGGACGGGACAAAATGTAGGACTTCAGAAACGCTGACGCAGGGACTGACGCTCGGCTCCATGATTGGGTGTTATCAGTCATGAAGTATCCTTCCCTGATTCGTCAATCACTGTTTACACCGGCACACGCATGCCCAGTGTTGGTGAATGGTCACGTGATCCGCGTTTTCAGTCGTTTTAATGTGGACGGAGATCATTTCTAATACGCAGATAAAACACTGGTGTGGACGGAGATCGTATTCGTTTTAATTCTCCGTTTTTAAACGAAAATGCAGTAGTGTGGATGGGGCCATAGACTCATCTTTCAGGCATTTGACCGGCCGCATTAGCAGAATGCTAGCATGCTATGGGCAACAAAAACTCAACCTGTAAGAAATCGAAAGGGCATAAGTATTTGTTCATTCAACTTTCAACCTATTATGTTGAACTTGCAAAACCTACAATCAATTTCTTGAATGGAGCAGAGGTAAGAGATGCATTGATGAAGTGAGAGATAGGTGCAGAGATAACTGAATGGCAGAGTTTCAGGAGAGGAGTAGGAGCAGGGTCAAGACAACAAGATGAGGGGTTGGATTTTAAGATTACCTCAGGAGTAGTCAGAAAAAAGAGAGGCAGGGACTAATCAAATTGGTTCAGCAGATATATTGGTTTTGCAGCATCATTAGAGAGGCACTGGTTTATGGGCATCTTTTCTAGAAAGTAAGTCATGAATGAACTGCAGAGTTCATCAGAAGTTAGTTTGGTACGTTCATTATTGTGTTAAATAATGCTTTTGGCCATATAAATCCGATCTTAAATTCCTGTGCTATATGCAGATTTAATGGAGTGTACGTCACCGAAAGCAACAGATATGACCTGCATTTTATTGATCATCTGCTACAGTAATTTCAAAATCAAAGACAGCAATAAGAGAGAGCGGCTCAAAACAGGTGGAACAGCCTGTACTATTGACTGCAGTCTACCTCTGGCCAAAAAATCCTCCGATGTCACAAAATGACGATTTTTGCATCATCGGAGGATTTTTTCCAGACAAAAAAATACATCAATCTCTCATTCTCAGGGGGACATGAGAGTGGAAAGCATGGTAATTCGAAAATACTACAGGTTTTCTACTAATATAAAGCTTAATGCTAAATCCTGAAGTATCCCTTTAAATTAAGATAAGTTATTAGTGTTGTATTGACCAATCACCATAATTTTCTGCACTGACAAACATTTGCCACATGTTTAAAAATGCCCAACAAACAGGGCCATAGTCTACTTATAGTGCGTATGTGAAGTCTTAGCTCAAAATACTCCACAGAACATTTTTATAGCATTTTAAAGTTGCCAAATTTGGGCTTGTGCAAAAACACAACTTTTGGTGTGTTTCCCTTTAAATGCTAATGACCTGCTGCTCCCGCCCCATTTTTCAGACTTTTTTGTCTGTCAGGGCTAAGCAATATCTCTTGTTTGGCTGCTCTGTTCTGATGTGCTGTCCTTTACAAATAAAGATTCCACCATCAGCGCGATAGAATCATGGTGCTATCACATGCTATAACAAATTTAATAAGTCTAACATGTTATTATGAGCTTGTCAAATTCAAAGGTAATTGGGAAAACAAACGTATAATATTTCTAGATATGTAGGCTTGCTGGATCACAAACAGTTGGCACTGCTACATCCTTCGGGAGCAACTTTTTTGCAAAACCTGCTTTATACTGAGCCTCGTTAAAAAAGCTGTCCGGTGTAAAATGATTCGAGGAGACATAAATGAATTTTGGTAGAGTTGAGAGACTGTGTGTCACATGACCAATATATTGTGGCCAAATATTTTGTTTATACATTACTTTGAAGAAGTGGAACTAAGGTTTTGTTGGAACAAAGAGGCAGATTTATGTTCTTATAGCTGAGTTGTTAAATGTGGCCACCTGTTAGCCAATTTTCCAAGTTCCAAAACCATGATAAAGGGCTCTAAAATCATGAGTGAGGTGGCAGAAATGGCTTAGCCAATTTAACTCCTATAATCCAAACACATTAAAAGCGCATGGCCACATTTCCCACAAATCACCCCTCACCCCTTACCATCTATTCATCTTCTACTTTAAATGTTTTCAGCTCAGCGGCCATAGAAAAAAAAAAAAACATTTGAGTTGACACTAGTGACAACAAACAAGCCATATCTCACATTTATAAAACTCACATTATATATATATATATATATATATATATATATATAACTAATTTAAATAGAAATCATCAATACATTGTTTATCATGCCACTGTGGATTCTGATCACTTTCTTGCATGTTTTTAGCAATTGTGTTGGAAGACAGCAAATTAACCTTTGGTTACTAAAAAAAAGCCTCAATTACATTTTAGGATGCTACAGTATAGGTCTTAATGTATAGCACTCAAACAAAACACTATGAACCAGCTTTTAAATCTGTACAGATGTGCTCGGATAGCATGGATAATTGCCAGGCTTGGACAGACTTGAGAAACAATTCTAAGCTCAAACACACAGAAGCATCATAACAAACATCTTTTCCTTTTTCTAAAGTAACTTAACATGCCAAAACTGTCTTCTGTGTTTCTTACTTTCTTTTATCACTGTGTGTTTAACATGAAAACGTAAAAATAAACCTAAAAAAACTGCAGAGCTTAGATACATGTCTTTGGCGATGGTTCTGAAAATACATTATTGCCCAATTTGAAGCATACTGCTCATTTAAAATAAACCCTGAAATAGAATAAACTACAGACCAAATATTTCAAACATTAATTGTCCATATCCATCCAATGTAGTGTTGTCAAAAAACTCGGTACTTCGGTACCAAGTCGGTACTAAAAAAAAAAATGTTACGGTACCAGCTTTTCTAGGTACCGAATACCAGATTAATCCAGTTCTAGACGCGCTGTCTGAAAGGTGCACAGTCGCGTCCTCTTCATAACGCTGATATGGCTCTCTCTCTCTGAATCCACTTGTTGACACGAAAGGAGGAAAGAGCCACATATGAAATATTTTGGATTAGGCTAATGTCACGTTGCCATAAGAGGCCGATTACATGCAAAGTCGCAATTTCAAATATAGGCGCGAGGCAAGCGCGCTCATAATAAAAACTCGTTGCATAGCAACGACAGACGCCGCGTGAGAGCAAGCGCTTTGGAAAGAATAAGCACACGCAAAAATATAATTAAAAAACACGCGCGATATGTGAACGGCCTCTAAAGTGCTTTCGGGGTAGTTTTACGAGTACATGGGCACAGTAGTATCCAACCGACACCAGAGTACCGGTATTAGTATCGACGCATCCCTATTTATTATGTCAGTGCCAGTTCTAGGCGTATTCTTGCCTTTATAACTCAGCAGGTTTAAAAAGCCTATGTAAAATTAAATATGAATGCAGTTTTAGATTAAATAAAAGTACAGACAAGTCAAATAAAACATGTTTTATCTCCTGTATAGTTTGGTAACGCTACAATAAGATAGCTACCATTCATCAACATTACTTAGTTCACATCAACACATTGAGTGAACAATATATTTTTACAACATTAATTAATGTTTGTAAATGTTATTTAATACAAACACTTGGTTGTTCATGTTTGTTCACATCATTCATTGTGCATTAAATAAATGTTAACGGATTAAAACTTTACAAACAACTTTAAAAATGTGTTAGTGCATACTATTGTTTATTTTAGGTCATTTTATCTAATCTTTTTCTAAAGTGTTTATAATGCAAATGTACAGTTTCCATACTTGTAACCGTGATAAAAACTTGAATATATGTAAATTTAAACTAAGCTTTGGTACCGAAATTGGTACCGAGAACCGTGAATTTTTACTGGTATTGGTACCGAATACTGAAATTTTGGTACCGTGACAACACTAATCCAATGTATCTAGTTTAGAAAGTTTAGATTTCAACTGTCCATCCAACCATTTTCTGGAATACCCTCATTTAATTTCAGCTTGTGCAGAAGCCAGCAAAAGTTTATTACACATCAACTCTATGAGCTTTGAGCCACTTTGCCAACACTTGTTGGTAAAAATAAAACCTTGCATCCCAAACCATTAAATCATGCCATTTGTCGACAATATTCCAGAGCCTTTAAGACAAAGCAGCCAAAAAACATGAAAAAGAGAGTCTACACATCTGTGTTAGATTTCAGCCAGCTAAGAGTGATGCGTTAAATGCAGATAAATGACAGACTTTACAGCAGCTCCAGTTTTCTGTTTACTATCTTTCATCACTACAGTAGAATGATGGCCGAACAACATTCATCACCGCTGAACAATCTCCACAA